TCCTCCGACAAATCAACTGTACATTTCGGTGTTCCTCAAGGTTCCGTTTTAGGACCACTATTGTTTTCACTATATATTTTACCTCTTGGGGATGTTATTCGAAAACATAATGTTAACTTTCACTGCTATGCGGATGACACACAGCTGTACATTTCAATGAAACATGGTGAAGCCCCAAAATTGCCCTCGCTAGAAGCCTGTGTTTCAGACATAAGGAAGTGGATGGCTGAAAACTTTCTACTTTTAAACTCGGACAAAACAGAGATGCTTGTTCTAGGTCCCAAGAAACAAAGAGATCTTCTGTTAAATCTGACAATTCATCTTGATGGTTGTAAAGTCGTCTCAAATAAAACTGTGAAGGACCTCGGCGTTACTCTTGACCCTGATCTCTCTTTTGACGAACATATCAAGACTGTTTCAAGGACAGCTTTTTTCCATCTACGTAACATTGCAAAAATCAGAAATTTTCTGTCCAAAAATGATGCAGAAAAATTAATCCATGCATTTGTTACTTCTAGGTTAGACTACTGCAATGCTCTACTTTCCGGCTACCCGGATAAAGCACTAAATAAACTTCAGTTAGTGCTAAATACGGCTGCTAGAATCCTGACTAGAACCAAGAAATTTGATCATATTACTCCAGTGCTAGCTTCCCTACACTGGCTTCCTGTTAAGGCAAGGGCTGATTTCAAGGTTTTACTGTTAACCTATAAAGCGTTACATGGGCTTGCTCCTACCTATCTTTCCGAGTTGGTCCTGCCGTACATACCAATACGTACGCTACGGTCACAAGACGCAGGCCTCCTAATTGTCCCTAGAATTTCTAAGCAAACAGCGGGAGGCAGGGCTTTCTCCTATAGATCTCCATTTTTATGGAACAGTCTGCCTACCCATGTGAGAGACGCAGACTCGGTCTCAACCTTTAAGTCTTTACTGAAGACTTATCTCTTCAGTAGGTCATATGATTGAGTGTAGTCTGGCCCAGGAGTGTGAAGGTGAACGGAAAGGCTCTGGAGCAACGAACAGCCCTTGCTGTCTCTGCCAGGCCGGTTCCCCTCTCTCCACTGGGGTTCTCTGCCTCTAACCCTGTTACAGGGGCTGAGTCACTGGCTTGCTGGTGCTCTTTCATGCCGTCCCTAGGAGGGGTGCGTCACTTGAGTGGGTTGAGTTACTGACGTGATCTTCCTGTCTGGGTTGGCGCCCCCCCTTGGTTTGTGCTGTGGTGGAGACCTCTGTGGGCTATACTCGGCCTTGTCTCAGGATTGTAAGTTGGTGGTTGAGGATATCCCTCTAGTGGTGCGGGGGCTGTGCTTTGGCAGAGTGGGTGGGGTTATATCCTTCCTGTTTGGCCCTGTCCGGGGGTTTCTTCGGATGGGGCCACAGTGTCTCCGGACCGCTCCTGTCTCAGCCTCCAGTATTTATGCTGCAGTAGTTTATGTGTCGGGGGGCTGGGGTTAGTTGGTTATACCTGGAGTACTTCTCCTGTCTTATCCAGTGTCCTGTGTGAATTTAAGTATGCTCTCTCTAATTCTCTCGTTCTCTCTGAGAACCTGAGCCCTAGGACCATACGTCAGGACTACCGGGCATGATGACACCTTGCTGTCCCCAGTCCGCCTGGCCTTGCTGCTATTCCAGTTTCAACTGTTCTGCCTGCGGTTACGAAACCCCTACCTGTCCCAGACCTGCTGTTTTCAACTCTTAATGATCGGCTATGAAAAGCCAACTGAGAGACCTGAGCCCTAGGACCATACGTCGGGACTACCGGCCGTGGTGACTCCTTGCTGTCCCCAGTCCGCCTGGCCTTGCTGCTATTCCAGTTTCAACTGTTCTGCCTGCGGTTATGGAACCCCTACCTGTCCCAGACCTGCTGTTTTCAACTCTTAATGATCGGCTATGAAAAGCCAACTGAGATTTATTCCTGATTATTATTTGACCATGCTTGTCACTTATGAACATTTTTGAACATCTTGGCATGGTTCTGTTATAATCTCCACCCGGCACAGCCAGAAGAGGACTGGCCACCCCTCATAGCCTGGTTCCTCTCTAGGTTTCTTCCTAGGTTTTGGCCTTTCTAGGGAGTTTTTCCTAGCCACCGTGCTTCTACACCTGCATTACTAGCTGTTTGGGGTTTTAGGCTGGGTTTCTGTACAGCACTTCGAGATATTAGCTGATGTAAGAAGGGCTATATAAAATAAAATTGATTGATTGATTGATTGATGTTATCTCCCTTTCACAGACCACAACCCTCCTCAGGCCAATTCCAAACCCCTTAAACACCAAACCCTAAACGTCCATTGCCCCAACTCAATCTAAACCCTCCCCCAATGTGCCTCGTTTCCTTTTCTGTGTGAGAATAAAATAAATATCATAACGGGACCATTCGCTTTCTGGGTCCGTCTGTGAAAGCATTCATTATGCATTTTCACCGATGCCCCACGGTGACAGTATAACGCAGAACAGCAGTCAGTAATGTTATACATAATTGAATAACATATTGCAGGCCAGCCAACCTTCAGTTCAGTTTACATGGATAAAAGAAACGACATATGTGTATATTCTAACAACCAAAATAGCTGTATGCTGGGTCAAATAAATTCACATAACAAATAAAATGTGGTCTCCACCACTAAGGTATAGAAAAACGTTCTCCATATGATTTCCAGTATCTTTGCTTTAAGCCAAAAGGGGATGGCTTTATACTGACGTAGTCTTAAGGTGACGTTATATCATATCTGCAGCACTGCTTGGGGTAACTGCATTTCACTGGTAGGCTTTGATCAAAGTATAAACAGCGCAAACTGATGAATCTCGTTCTGAAATCTGAGAGATTCGTAGAACGACACAATGAGCTGATACGCGCAGTCGTGAACATGAATATGATTGGCACAATCACAGCAAATGATATTGTTGGCAGAGCCGCACAAAGGCACACCGCGCGACAGTGAGATCATCTCTAGGAACGCAACTTTCAGTTCAACTAAGTAAGCATTTGTCATATTTCGCTATCTTATACAGTACGTCAGATATGTGCATGTAAAAGTAGCAAGCTAGCATAAGCAAGCTTGCTAGCTGGCTAGCTAGAAGAGCCAACACGGAAATCGTATTGGCTACACTAATTTAGCTAACGTTAGCTGCTAAGGATACTACAATTGTTAGCTAGGTGGTTAACTACATTTTCCAACGAATTATATTCATTCCTCTGGAGCTAGCAAGCTATCTATACAGCTATGACGTGCAGCTGAGCAAACGCTGCATATAAAGTGGGCAGCCCGTTCCCACCTCCATCTGTTGACATCACCGTCCATTTTTTGTTACTGATAAAATGTGTTTGGGAAAACGCATCTCTGGTGGTGGTGGTAGGTTAGTAGCCAATGCTAGAGTATGTAGCCTACTGCAGGTAGCATGGACTAGCTAGGTAAATGCGTATAATTCTAAGGGTAAATCATTGCGTAGTCTGCCCAGAATAGACATAGTTAGCGGTCCTATGGCTGGCTGTTCCATAGTATGCAACAGGAACAAAAAAACTGCAGGCACCTCATGCACTTTCAGTCATGTGACCAGAACAAGTGGATTACAAATGTTACAACATAGCAGCACACTCGTGATAGAGATATTTTTGCCTGAACAAAGTATTAACTTACTGGCGGGACATTGCTGCAGCAGTGGTAACTGTAAAGTACTTTGTGAGCTATACTGCTGGCTAATAGGTTTGAGTAGTGCACTGAATGTTGGAATACCAAGATATTACCTCAAATGAACCTGGATTCTCCACCCTGAGCTAACATTTGAATGATGTATGACTCTGTAAGTGCTTTCCCTTTCTGTAGATTTATTATAATGACAAGGGATGTCAATGTGAGTGCTTCACAAAACAGGAAATCTGAATTGTAGGATCGGACCCTTTTTTTCAATTGTCGCCTAAAATGACATACCCAAATCTAACTGCCTGTAGCTCAGGACCTGAAGCAAGGATATGCATATTCTTGATATCATTTGAAAGGAAACACTTTGAAGTTTGTGGAAATGTGAAATTAACGTAAGAGAATATAACACATTAGATCTGGTAAAAGATAATACAAACAAACAAACATGCGTTTTCTATTATTTTGTTGTTGCATTGTCTTTGAAATGCAAGTGAAAGGCCAGACAGTGATGTAGGATTCTAGATGTAATTTAGATGTTGTCCACCAGATGGCAGCAGTGTGTGTGCAAAGTTTCAGACTGATCCAGTAAAGAATTACATCACTACACAATATTTTGTATCAAGTCTGCCAGGAGTTTTCCCAAATGTGCCGAATTGGTTTTCAAGTACATAACTATAGAGAACATACAAAAATGCTATGGTAATACAACATTTAAGTTTGCACACTCCCAGGAATGTCATAAATGATGGATCATTAGCTTCCCTACAGAAAATACACTAACCTTCACACATCTAGATGGCCGGGCAGGGTGGGTGTGGAGTCAGAGGTCAAACTGTAGAACCCAGTTCCTACATTTGAATATAAAAATTGATTTTTCAAACAAAACTACACTACAGTTTATCTCTGGGACCCTCAGGATGACAAATCGGAGCAAGATTACTGAATGTAAGTACATTATTTACCTTCAGAGGTGAATGTACCAAACCAGTTGCTGTGATAAAAGTGTTTTGTTGTTGTGCACTATCCGCATGGTATTTTCTAGCTGTATTACCTACTGTAAATTGGACACTGCAGTTAGCTTACATTCTTGTTAATCTTTCTGCCCATATAAGACATGTCTATGTCCCAGAAAGTTGGCTGTTGTTTACAACACCATTCTAGTCACATATCGCATATTGAGCAACAACCGTCCCGTATAAGGGACACCGAACCCGTAGAGGTTAACCTAGGGCTCCATGCTCTATATGTAAATGCAAACACTTTCCCACGGTTGGCTTCTGACTCCTTTATGACTTCTGTACTTCTGTTTCTTTGTGCTAATATCAGGGGGACTGGTAGGGGCGTGACACCGTTGCCATGGTGACATCAGAGCGTGAGACTGGGCCTGAGCATGGGAGGCAGAAAGGGGGTACCGTTTGGAAGAACCTGTCCAAATACACCTCCATCTTCCTTGTGCTGGCCCTGTCAGGAATCATCTTCCTGTTGCGCAACATTCACACTCTTGAGGTGAGGAGGGGAAGGGGGAAAAGGTATGTTTGTTGGAGTTGGTCTAGTAAGGGTTGGGGGGGGGGATTTACGTTCACTTGGTTGGGAGGGAGGGTTCAGATTGGAGGGAGAGGGGTTCGGACAAAGCATTCTGAAAGATCACCACAACTCTTTCTATTTTTTAAGTGCTGAGGGGTTTCAGTTGTTTTTTTCAGCTGGTCATAGAGCAACTCTAGCTCTAATGTGGAGCAGAGAGAGAGAGAAAAAAAAAGGTTGTTTTCCTTGTATGAAAACATCCAGTCAAGCTCAGCGTGTCCCTTCCTTTTCACTACCTCCTCTATTGCTTCTTACCTCCTTTTTCGCCTTTGTGATGACTTTGTTGTTCATCATTAGCAATCATATTGAGGACAATGTCAACAAAATGGAACAGCAATAGGCCTATAAGCTGAACAATGAACAACCACCTCAGCAGTGAGATGTGCTTTGATGTTTCTTCCTTTCTCCCACATTTCTTTAATCACCATCCTCCATTACTACCCTCCCTCTTGGTGACCTTTCCTCTTCTCTTCAGCAGAAGCTAAACTGCCAAACAGTGTCGACACTCTACCAGTTCCAGAGCAGCATCCATTCAGCCTTCAACCCAGAGGAACCTCCTCCACTGGATCACAACCGGAGCTACTGTGGCCACCTGGGCCTGGAGCCCTCAGCCGAGGAGGCTCTGGAGGAGCGTTACCTCCTGGAGTCCATCGCCTGGCCAGAGCCTCAGCCTCGGCCGACGCCTAGACCCCTGCGGCAGACCAGCGACCCTGCACACAGCCTGTTTGCAATCCTGCCAGGAGAAGGTGGGAGAGAGTGGCGTGTGGGGGATCAGCTTGAGGCGCTAGTCCATATGCATGACTTCCAGGGGCGTCCCAAGCGTCACGGTGGGGACTTCCTGCTGGCCCGGCTGCATTCCCCAGAGTTGGGGGCGGGTGTTGCAGGACAGGTGCTGGACCACCGGAATGGGCTCTACTCAGCTGTGTTCCCGTTACTATGGGAGGGGTCTGTACGGGTAGAGGTGACACTGGTCCATTCTAGTGAGGCAGTTGCTGTGCTGCGTCGGTTACGAGAGGAACGTCCCGACCGCGTCTTCTTCAAGAGTCTGTTCCGCTCTGGATTCCTGTCTGAGACCACCATGTGTAACCTGTGCCTGCCAACCACCCAGCAGCCGCTGTGCAATTACACAGACCCCCACACAGGTGAACCCTGGTACTGCTACAAGCCCAAGCTGCTGAGCTGTGACACGCGGATCAACCACGCCAAAGGAGGCTACCAAAAACACCTGCTCACCAACAAAGAGTCGCTGCTCTTCCAGAGGTTAGTGAGTGATAGATAAGAGTATGTGTGAAGACCGTATGTTAGGCCTATGTAGTAGTTGTGCCTTTGCTAGTAACATGTACAATTACAAGGTTTGTTTCAGGTGTATGATATTTTTTAGCTGCAACATTTTTACACAAAATAAGTCTCTTTGATTTTTCTCAGCGGTGTAAACATCAAAGTCCGTATTCATGCTTCAGGGTCTGACAGTGTCATTGTGGAGCCTGAGAAGAAAGGTAAGACAGCAAGGGGATGCTACACACATGCTAGTGTGCATCCGTGTGCTTGTTTGTAGGGTGGGAGGTTTAGGATTTGTTGGAAAGTGTAATGAAAAACCAGCATACCAAGTGGGTGCATATAAAAGACCTGCACCAGAACAGAGCCCTGGGAACCCCTTGTGTGACTATCCAAGCTGACTATTGACAGACAAGTTGTAACCCAGGGCTAAGTTCTGGGACACTGTTGTTTTTGATCTGCATGCTATCACATGGTATGCTTAAGCAATAAGGCCAGAGGGGGTGTGGTATATGGCCAATATACCATGGCTAAGGACTGTTCTTCAGCTTTACATTTACGTCATTTAGCAGAAGCTCTTATCCAGAGCGACTTACAAATTGATGATGCAACACGGAGTGCCTGGATACAGCACTTAGCCATGGTATATTGGCCATATACCACAAACCCCCGAGGTGCCTTATTGCTATTATAAACTGGTTACCAACGTAATTAGAGCAGTAAAAATACATGATTTGTCATACCTGTGGTATACGGTCTGATATACCACAGCTGTCAGCCAATCAGCATTCAGTGCTCGAACCACCCAGTTTATAATCAACATTTTGTACTGGATTTGTGTGTATGCAGTATTTGTGTGTTTAAAAAAAAAATCAACTTACAGTCCCTTCAGAAAGTATTCACACCCCTTGACTTTTTCCACATATTGTTGTGTTACAGCCTAAATTTAAAATGGATTAAAATGAGATTATTTGTCACTGGCCTACATACAATAATGTCGAAGTGGAATTTTTTGAAATGTCTACAAAAAATAAATAAATCAAAAGCTGAAATGTCTTGAGTCAATAAGTATTCAACCCCTTTGTTATGGAAAGCCTAAATAAGTTCTGGAGTAAAAATTGGCTTAACAACTCGCATAATACGTTACATGGACTCACTCTGTGTGCAATAATAGTGTTTAACATGATTTTTTGAATGACTATCTCATCTTTGTACCCCACACATACAATTATCTTTAACGTCTTCTCAGTCGAGCAGTGTATTTCAAACACAGATTCAACCACAAAGACCAGGAAGGTTTTCCAATTCCTCGCAAAGAGGAGTATCTATTGGTAGATGGGTAAAAAAAAAAAAGCAGACATTGAAAATCCCTTTGAGCATGGTGAAGTTATTAATTACACTTTAGAGATGGTGTATCAATACACCCAGTCACTACAAAGAAAGGTGTCCTTCCTAACTCAGTTGCCCTGAGAGGAAGGAAACCACTTGAGGATTTCACAATGAGGCCAATGGTGACTTCAAAACAGTTATAGAGTTAAATGGCTGTGATAGGAGAGAACTGAGGATAACGGAGTGAAAAGAAGGAAGCATGTACAGAATAAAAAATATTCCAAAACATGCATCCAGTTTGAAACAAGGCACTAAAGTAATACTGCAAAAAACATGGCAAAGCAATACACTTTTTGTCCTGAATACAAAGTGTTATGTTTGAGGCAAATCCACTACAACAAATTACTGAGTACCCCTCTTCATATTTTCAAGCATAGTGGTGGCTGCTACATGTTATGGGTATGCTTGGAGAGTTAAAGGATAAAAAAGAAACTGAATGGAGCTAAGCACAGGCAAAATCCTAGAGCTGGTTCAGCCTTCCTAAAGCTGGTTCAGCCTTCTTTCCACCAGACACTGGGAGAGGAATTCACCTTTCAGTAGGACAATAACCTAAAACAAGGCCAAATCTACCCTGGAGTTGCTTACCAAGAAGACAGTGAATGTTCACAAGTGGGCGAGTTATAGTTTTGACTTAAATCTACTTGGAAATCTATGGCAAGACCTGTAAATGGTTGTCTAGCAATGATCAACAACCAATCAAATGTTTTAAAGAATAATCTGCAAATATTGTACAATCCAGGTGTGCAAAGCTCTTATGCAAAGCTCTTAGAGAGCAACCCCTATTACTAGCCTGTTCAACCTCTCTTTCATAACGTCTGAGATCCCCAGAGATTGGAAAGCCGCCGCGGTCATCCCCCTCTTCAAAGGGGGTGACACTCTAGATCCAAACTGTTACAGACCCATATCCATCCTGCCCTGCCTTTCAAAAGTTTTTGAAAGCCAAGTTAACAAACAGATCACCGACCATTTCGAATCCCACCGTACCTTCTCCGCTATGCAATCCGGTTTCCGAGCTGGTCATGGGTGCACTTCAGCCACGCTCAAGGTCCTAAACGATATTATAACCGCGATCGATAATAGACAGTACTGTGCAGCCGTTTTCATTGACCTGGCCAAGGCTTTCGACTCTGTCAACCACCGCATTCTTATTGGCAGACTAAATAGCCTTGGTTTCTCAAATGACTGCCTCGCCTGGTTCACCAACTACTTCTCAGATAGAGTTCAATGTGTGAAATCGGAGGGCCTGTTGTCTGGACCTATGGCAGTCTCTATGGGGGTGCCACAGGGTTCAATTCTTGGGCCGACTCTTTTCTCTGTGTATATCAATGATGTCGCTCTTGCTGCTGGTGACTCTCAGATCCACCTCTACGCAGACGACACCATTTTGTATACATCTGGCCCTTCATTGGACACTGTGTTAACAAACCTCCAAACGAGCTTCAATGCCATACAACACTCCTTCAGTAGCCTCCAACTGCTCTTAAACACTAGTAAAACTAAATGCATGCTCTTCAACCGAACGCTGCTTGCACCCGCCCACCCGACTAGAATCACTACTCTCGACGGGTCTGACCTAGAGTATGTGGACAACTACAAATACCTAGGTGTCTGGTTAGACTGTAAACTCTCCTTCCAGACTCACATTAAGAATCTCCAATCCAAAGTTAAATCTAGAATCGGTTTCCTATTTCGCAACAAAGCCTCCTTCACTCATGCTGCCAAACATGCCCTCGTAAAACTGACTATCCTACCGATCCTTGACTTCGGCGATGTCTTTTACAAAATAGCCTCCAACACTCTACTCAGCAAATTGGATGTAGTCTATCACAGTGCCATCCGTTTTGTCTCCAAAGCCCCATACACTACCCACCACTGTGACCTGTACGCTCTTGTTGGCTGGTCCTCACTACATGTTCGTCGTCAAACCCACTGGCTCCAGGCCATCTATAAATCACTGCTAGGCAAATCCCCGCCTTATCTTAGCTCATTGGTCACCATAGCAACACCCACCCGTAGTATGCGCTCCAGCAGGTATATCTCACTGGTCATCCCCAAAGCCAACACCTCCTTTGGCCGCCATTCCTTCCAGTTCTCTGCTGCCAATGACTGGAACAAATTGCAAAAATCTCTGAAGCTGGAGACACTTATCTCCCTCACTAACTTTAAGCATCAGTTGTCAGAGCACCTTACCGATCACTGCACCTGTACACAGCCCATCTGAAATTAGCCCGCCCAACTACCTCATCCCTATATTGTTATTTATTTTGCTCATTTGTACCCCAGTATCTCTATTTGCACATCATCTCTTGCACATCTATCATTCCAGTGTTAATACTAATTGTAATTATTTTGCACTATAGCCTATTTATTGCCTTACCTCCATAACTTGCTACATTTGCACACACTGTATATATATTTTTTTCTGTTGTATTTTTGACTTTGTTTTGTTTATCCCATATGTAACTCTGTGTTGTTGTTTTTATCGAACTGCTTTTCTTTATCTTGGCCAGGTCGCAGTTGTAAATGAGAACTTGTTCTCAACTGGCTTACCTGGTTAAATAAAGGTGAAAAAAAATAAAAAAAATAAAGAGACTTGCCCAGAAAGACTCACAGCTATAATCGCTGCCAAAGGTGATTCTAACATTTATTGACAAAGGGGTGTGAATACTTATGTAAATGATATATTTCTGTATTTAATTTTCAATACATTTGCAAACACTTCTAAAAACATGTTTTCACTTTGTCGTTATTGGGTATTGTGTGTAAATGGGTGAGAACTCCCCCCATTTACATCCATTTAGAATTCAGGCTGCAACAACACAACAAAATGTGGGGTATGAATACTTTCTGAAGGCACTGTACTTGTAAGGTGATCATGCTGGCACCTCTTTCAGACAAACCAGAGATGGAGCGCAGCAGTGTGAGAGCGGAGCCTATCAGGGTTACTCCCTCTGGGTACTACTTCCAAGGGTCATGGCGGGCGCTGGGTGGTGTCGCAATGCATCAGTTTAACGACTCCTCTGCCATTACTCAGTGTCTGAAGGGCAAGGTGGTGTACATGTACGGAGACTCCACTGCCAGACAGTGGTTCGAGTACCTCAATGCCTTTGTACCAGGTGAGTGCTGTCTGCTAAAGCTCAATGACATCTCTCACTGTGCACTGTCTCGGGTGCTTTTTAACTCTCTCTTCTGTTTGTCCAACTCCCCATTCAACTCCTTCCCTCTTTATCACAGAGCTGAAGGAGTTCAACCTTCACAGTCCTAGGAATGTGGGGCCCTTCATGGCGGTGGACAGCACCCACAACATCCTGCTGAGGTACCGCTGTCACGGTCCTCCAATCCGTTTCTCTACTGTCATCGCCAGTGAGATGCGCTATGTAGCTAACGAGCTGGACGGCCTGGCGGGGGGCCCAGATACCGTGGTGGTCCTCAGCGTTTGGGCCCATTTCAGCACCTACCCTGTAGAGGTCTACATACGCAGACTACGCCACATTCGACGGGCGGTGGTGCGGCTTCTGGACCGGGCTCCAGGGACCCTGATAGTGGTGCGTTCAGCCAACCTCCAGGCCTTGGACCCGGAGGTGAGCCTGTACAATAGTGACTGGTTCTCAGTGCAGCTGGACGGGGTGCTCAGGGCCATGTTCAGGGGTCTGGATGTCTTTCTGGTGGATGCCTGGGAGATGACCCTTGCTCACCACCTCCCCCATGCCCTTCACCCGCCTCCAGTCATTGTCAAGAACATGATAGACAATATCCTCTCTTATGTATGCCCAGAGAAGAGCTAGCCGAGGAAGGAAAGAGCGGGATGGAAGATGAAAAATGAGCGTGAGATAGGAGTGTGGTTATGTTTACGAGGGTTACTTATAGTGTGATCACAAAGCTCACCTGTTTACTGCGAGCATGGCCTGATGTAGCCTAAGCCCTATCTGCTGTGTACCTGCTTCCTGTGTATGGGATTGGCTGTTGTGAAGTGACCTAGTGTTTATATCAACATCACACACTCACAAATAAACCAGGAGAGATGGGAAGATAAACAACAGGGCTGATTGAATCAATCAACTATGAGCACATTACTGATTTTGACCCAACCTGCTGTATTTAAAGTTGAATGGCCAACAGGTTTTCCCCAGTTCAAACGTTGTTTCAAAGGGTTATTAGAAGAAATGTGTGTGAAGTTTTATGCAATAGTTTCTGACATTCAGTGTTTGTTTTATGGGAAACAGCCATGTTATTGAATTGTGACCCACAGATTGTTTTTTAAAAAACGACAGATTTCAACAAATTCTGTTCAGCCCACTTTTGCAAAACCTGAATGGGATATCGGCTGCCATAGAGTGCACTAAGTAAATGTAGGCTACTGCAGTGCAGTAGGGGAGATTGAGAGTGGGAATCGCAGTATAAAAAATGCATTGAAAATGACACGTTTGCCAAATACTGTACTTTAGACTTGCATTAATGCTGTTCTCACTCTAAATATCAAATATGTTTGGTTATACAGAAACAGGAGCACAGTGTCGAAGGTATTTTGACAAAAGTAAATGTGAAAAAAATTATACCAAACAATGTGCTTATGGTTACAAAACTCAATGTGAATCCAGCTCTGTCATGTCAAATAAATCAGTGTGGTTTAGTAGTGGGGCTCTAGGAAATGCCCAAGGCATGTCGCCAAGATTTAACCTACAACCTAAAAGATGAATACTTGTTAACTCTGTACCAAATCGTATGCTTTCCTATGTGTTCCATATCCAAGGATGTTCAAAAACTTAACCCTTGAGGACTTTGTCTGCTGGCTTTTGTCATCCATCAAGAGGTTTACAGGCCTGAATCAGATGCTGATGGAAACGGCAAGGTCATCAACCAGCAGACAGCCTTCCTCCAGGACTGGCTTTATTCTTTTTATCCAGTGTTATTTTTCAGGTACTTCTGCAACAGTTTATATCAAAAATGTGACATTATTTAAATATAGGAATGAACTTTTAACATGTAACTGTTTTTAACTCTTGTTAGGCAGTCTCAAAGTGATGCCATTTTGTAACTAACGATTACAGCAGTATTATTGCCTAGGCCGTGCACCACAGCTGGAACGCTTTAACATGTTACCCTTTGCCAAGCTATGCTATTGCCAAGTGTTACCTCACTTTCTACCAGTTACCATAAGTGTCAACTTGCCACAATTGAAATATATCTCCCATTGAACAATTGCAATAAAGTGATTGGTGATTTATTTATGAAGGAAGATCTAAGGTCTGACTAGCTAGCTAGGGTTAGCTTCTGCAAATTCTGACTAACAAGGGTGATATTATCAGTTTTATTAGCTATGGAAGCACTGATTTACTTATGACCAGTCTTCGTTGAACAAGTTCTTGCATTCCTGCCCCTCCCCCCGCCCCCCACATTAACAAATGTGCTGATATCCAGCTAGTTAGCTAGCTTAAGGTTAGCTAAAGCTTTAGCTAGCTAAGAATTCTCAAATTCTGCCTGGAGTTGAAAATTCTCAGCTAAGCTTTAGATAGCTTTAGCAAGTGATCCATCGGGATTGTTCGGAAATATAGGCAACTGATCTGTCTACTTGACACATACTGTACTTCTGCCCTTGATATCAAATATTTGATACTTCATACAAGATAGCCAAACTGTCTGTTTTAAGTTCAAGTTAAAAGCATGTGTGCACCTCTTGCTCGTGCACCCTGCGCATGTTACCTGCAGCTGCGTGGTGCTTGCTTGCGTAGCCGTTTGATTCTAACCAATCATTATTGCATCATCCATGACAACACAATACAAAATCCAAAGGTACATCTGATGAATTGAAGCGTGCACCTGTCATTCATTCATCATGGGATAAAGTATAGGAATATAGCATGTGTGCTACCATTTTGTTGTGGAAAATAATTAGCTAAATATCAACATTATTGATGCCCTCCTCTCAGTGTTGTCCGAAGCAAAGAGGAACGCTTTCCCAACTCTCTCCATTCTCTCAGAAAATGGTGAGGACCGATTAATAAACTAAATGCTATGTTGGAGTAATAGTGTAAGCAAACAGGGGAGAGAGATGTAACTTAGAATTGTAATCTAATGAATTGCTCATTGATGTCCTCTCTCATTGATAACATTTGGTCATATGTGTCGTCATTTACCGAGCGGCAGATGTCCTTGCTGAAGGTAAAACACATTTTTACGGTCAAAGATCATAACAGAATCCTGTAATCTAGCGGCGATTTTAGCATGTTAATCTTGTTGGGGCAAAAAAAATAATGTTTTAGATGCATGCCAGCAAAGCCACTACACAACACAACACTAAATAATACATTAATTGCACTATAATTGTGACAAACTGTGCCCACAAACTGTTGGGGCCTATATAAAGCTGTCACAATATCAGAGCTTTCTTTTCAGCACCATAGACTCAATCCTTACCACCGCTACACCTGGCTATCATCAGAGCCTTGTCTGACAGCAAAACAGTTAATTCAGCCTCATTTACTGCCTTTTTTAAAATCATAGCTGATATGGCTGACTTTCTTAAACAAATGTGGTTTCTGATGACAATTGAGATGTACAAACTATGGCATAAGGGAACGATGAGCGGATGAGGCAATCCGTAATTTCGAGTAAGACATGAATGAGCGAGCTAAAACGGACGTAGTCAATATAACTATATGTTCAGCACTTTTGAAATGTACAGCGACCAGAATTCAGAACATGGGCCGTTCTTACAGTGTTCTCTCTGTATACCAAGTCAGAACCATAGGATAAATAAAGGGGGCATATAAGCAGACAATGAAAGCTCTTACAATATTCGATGTTGACATTTCTCTAAAATAGGCTGTAGGCTACATGTGCACCACCAAGTCAGAACAGTATGCGAAAAATTAAGAGGGGTAAATTATTAGGGTGAGGCACATGGGCTACTAACAGCTTACTACACTACATACACTTAGTATTACTTTCGTAGATACAGTATACATATCTCCCTGGCATATTACATCATTTATGTATCAGCATACAATACATTTTTGGACTCACCTTGTTGTGCTGTGCTCACTTGAACAGCCTTGTGGGCAAATTTTGTCATGAAACTTTGTGATCAAAGTCTGGCATTCTCTGAATTTATGGTGCTTTCAAGACAACTGGGAAGTCGAAAAAAAACAAGGTTGAATCATGACGTCGGTGATCTTCAGGTCGGGGCTTTAGAAAGAGGCCTGAGTTCCCGACTTGGAATTCCGAATTGGATGACCGTTCAAAACGTATTTTCCCAGTCGGAGCTCTTTTTTTTCAGAGTTCCCAGTTGTCTTGAACTCAATGAAGTCTGAGATTTCCCAGTTCCGAGTTTCCATTTGGTTTGAACGCGACAGAAGTCATGCTGTATTGACAGCATGGCCAATGTATTCAAACCTTTCTGGCCCATGGTGTTGTGTGTGAATGTTTATCCTTTTAAGCTTGGAAAAGAGACCCTTAAACCCAGACTTGGACCACACACCCTCTCCACCGAATAGCAGGCAGGGGAAGCAAAATAGTGATTGCTTTGCAACGCTTGCAGTTAGCCACTAATTCCTTCCAAAACACTCATTGTTGAATTTGAAATTTCCAACTTATTGTGTAATGTTGATGGCCGATGAGCACCGATACGTTTTAACTATCATTTATCTTCATATGACAAGGATTGAAAAATATTTGCCAGTAGATTGTCGACGTGATTCATGATGATGACTGCTTGTCTAGCTTGCTAGCTAAGATTTTGAAAGTATGATGTTGACATGATCAGTCCAATCAAAGCTACGGTAGATATAACGTGATTTGACATAATTTTATCTGTGGCAAATGACCTTGAGCCTTCTTGGATGGGCACTTCTAATGTAAATCTATGGCAGCACCTAAGGGGGCTTGAACTTTGTAGCTCTCCCTGTAGATTTTGCAGTGACGTAGTGTCCCCATGATTGACAGAACACTGAGCCAATCACGGCGCAACTAGAGAAGATTAGTAACCCCTACGCTCTGTATTTTCCGCTGGCTGCCCTTCCACCACAGAAAGCACTGAGCTAGGCTGAAACACCTGCATTTTGGAGCTGCCTTACTCAAGAAAGCAAAAAAGAGACCATGTTATTTAAAAATAAATAAAAAATAATAATAATTGGGGTAGAGACCATGTTTGTATGTGGCTTTATTAACTCAATAACATGTTTTTTACATTGCAACGTTTTTTTTTTATATAGCTAAACAGGTGGGGCTCTCACCTGCCCTGGATGACGGGTCACCACTGCTGTAATCACCTAATGAGTGTGTCAATAGGTTCTAACACTTCTTGCAATAATATAAATGTTAATGTATGATGAAGAGTGGATACTAGACTTTCAATTCATGTTTTCAAAGTATACAAATCAGAAAAGGTGTGTGTGTGTAGCGGACCTGAGTCTGTGCTTGCTCATGATCACGTGATCTGCGACTTCAAAATCAGTGTCGGCCCATCTAACTGCTGTCAAAGAGACTGGCCCACTCCCACAGCCTAAAGCAGGTCACACCTACTGTACGCTGTTTGGCCCCACCTCAAGTGTTCTCCTAACTCCCTGCTCTCCTCTGTGTGTGTGTGGCTTACATGTCTTTCTGTCGAGCAAAACATTTTGGGGAAGTTACTGCGCAGCGCACAGACCCCACTCTCGCACTCAACCTCGTCAATATATGTCGAGTTTCCTTAAAAGCCTATTTGGCAGGGAAACTGTGAAGCCAGCTCTATAGCCTATTGCCTGTTTGTGTTTGAGTCTTTTATTAAAGAATGTGAAACAATGTTGTGTGTGTTTGCTGTGTAGTGTATTAAGATTATGACTTCGCTAATGTTTTAAGTGGAACCTGAGAGGATGTTTATTTAGTTTCAAAGGGAGTTGTTTTAGGGTGACGCCCCAGATGGGACAGGGAGTGTGTGTTGTAGACAGGGGATTGGACAGTAGAGGGAGCCACCCATATTTTGGGAAAATTATAAGTACTGGGTTTAAACAAAGAAGAGCAGAGCGGCCATTGCAATTTGGAAAACACTGCTCTCCGGGTGATCATGACATCTGTAAACTTATGCTGAAATCTTGTGATATGAATAAAACTTATGATCAAGGCTCAGTCTAAGCGGACTCCTTTGTTACAGCATAATTAGCAACATTGACTCGACACTACAGCTGCTATTCATTAAGTCACGCAGAGCTGTTCTTTATATTCCACTGCTATGGCAAAGATCCCTCTACTGCAAGCAACAGAAGGATCTGGAGTCACTGGTTGAGAAGTACACCAGGACTCAACGGCTGGAGTCTTACCAGAAGAGCTTTGCCTACACTTTTAAGTTGCAGTTGTGAATTTCTTGAACTCTATTTCTTGAATTGCATTGTTGGTTAAGCGCTTGTAAGTAGGCATTTCACGGTAAGGTCTACGCCTGTTGTATTCGGCGCATGTGACAAATACGATTTAATTTGAATAATCCTAAATCAATCTGAGAAAAAGTAGCATACTTGGACACTTCTTCTTGAAACATCAATTTCAACCCTTTCAATGACTCTAAAGTCACCTGTTTTGACCTCACATTTTTAGGGAAAAAATAAATAACAAATACCTGTTTTTGTCATGATTTAACTGGATTTGAACCCAAATGCAGATAACTACACCGAGCCAGAGAAGGTTTAACAGGTTTATTTACAAAGTTCAATTTGTCCAGGTTTCCAATAATAGGGGAAGAGCAAGTCCAGGTTTACAGGGAGGGTAACAGATCCAGGTTCAGAGCAGGAGTGGTACCGTAACGTCCTAGTGTCCGTGGTGAGTCCAAAAGGGAGGTCCGGTAGTGGAAAGCAGGATGGTGGTGGCAGGAGTGAAGCAGAGGCAGGAGTCAGGTTCCAATAATCTGTGGCACAGGAGAAAAGTGACTAGAACAGGCCAAAAACACAAAGGGCGAAAACAAGCAGGTTGAGTCAACAGCGAAACTAACATGGTCGTCTTGACTATGATCTGACGATGAGTGGCAAGTTTGACCGGGTCTTTAAGGCTGAGGTGATTATGGTGAATGAGCTGCAGCTGGAACCCTGACTCCCGCACACCAGACTTCACTCCTGCAATCAAGGACAGACAGAGGGGAGGGGGAGAGCAGAGAGAGAGCTACCTAGCAGCAGTAGGCCTAACAGTTTTGCATGTTATTTTGGCATTAATACGTATCACATACCAGTGTTTCAGCCTAGCTCAGTGCTTTCTGTGGTGGTGGGGCAGCCAGCGGAAAATACGGAGCATAGGTGTTGGTAATGTTCTCTAGTTGCACCATGATTAGCTCAGTGTTCTGTCACTCGTGGGGACAGTACGTCACTGCCAAGTCTAAGAGTGGACCTCGAAAATTCACATCCATCCAAGAAGGCTCAAGGTCATTGGCCACAGATTGAATGATGTCAAATCACGTTATATCTAAAGTAATCCTTCTACCCCACCTTACCCCACCCCCAAAAAATTAAATAAAAGGTTTTATTGTAAAGTGGTTCTCCCACTGGCTATAATAAGGTGAATGCACCAATTTGTAAGTCGCTCTGGATAAGAGCGTCTGCTAAATGACGAAAATGTAAATGTAATGGTTTTTGCGACTGCACTTGAAAAAAGTTCTTGACATTTTCCGTATTGACTGACTTTTATGTCTTAAAGTAATGATGGACTGTCATTTCTCTTTGCTTATTTGAGCTGTTGTTGACATAATATGGACTTGGTATTTTACCAAATAGGGCTATCTTCTGTATACCCCCCCCCCCTACATTGTCACAACACAACTGATTGGCTCAAACACAATAAGAAGGAAATAAATTCCAGGCACACCTGTTAATTGAAATGCATTCCAGGTGACTACCTCATGAAGCTGGTTGAGAGAATGCCAAGGGTGTGCAAAGCTGCCATCAAGGCAAAGGGTGGCTATTTGAAGAATCTCAAATATAAATATATTTTGATTTGTTTAACATAAAGAAAAACCCTTGAATGAGTAGGTGTGTCCAAACTTTTGACTGGTACTCTATGTCATATATCCAGTGTGTTAAAGTAGGGGGACTATCTGATTTTCAGAATAATGTTATGCATTTCTTTGCCGCTAGCACAGACAGATCAATATATATTTTTACTAGTCCCAAACAGACACAAGCTAGGCATGAGAGGGATAGACATCTGTAAACATTCTGAAATTGTGTTGATTACTGATTCCCAAAACATTGAAATAAGATTGCATGTCCAAAACGTGATAATAAGTACCCTTTTGCCTCTTACAGCACCAACAAAGGAAATATATTTTTGCATTCATTTTGTGAAGTTTTCTGGTGTATAGTAAACTCTGTGAATGGTTTTAATCTGAGATTGTGTATGAGGTTGTAGGAACATTGGTGTGCTTTCAAACATATATATAAGACCATTCTTCTCTGCATATTTCAACCTGTACATCTTCCCATTTCAATCTAGTAACATCTGTGTCTACTGGCATATGATCTAACCACAATTTATAAACCTTAGAAATTACACTTGACAGTTTTTTCACTATTATCAGTAAGAAATCAAGTTTAGATGATTTGGGTTCCCCAAGAGAACCCTGTTTCAATTTAACCATATGTCAGACTTGAAAAATAGATGGAATACAGAATTTCTCTCGTACCATCCTGAAAGAGGTGGTACATTTCCTTTATACCCTTGTTGTGCCAGGATTTAAATGTATCATCATGGTCCTCTGTAGCTCAGCTGGTAGAGCACGGCGCTTGTAACGCCAAGGTAGTGGGTTCGATCCCCGGGACCACCCATACACAAAAATTTATGCACGCATGACTGTAAGTCGCTTTGGATAAAAGCGTCTGCTAAATGGCATATTATTATTATTATCATTAAAACAGGATGAAAAGCAGGAATTTCTCCATATGGGAGCAAAAGGGGAGAGAGATGCATTGTAACCCAGTCATTTATTAGTTGCTTTCCATACTTGTATACTATTCAAAATGACTGGGGTATTCGTAATCTTCTTTGTCTCTTGCAGGCCAAAATAGGGCATGTATTTCAACTCATATGGTAAAATGTCAAAGGGCTCTAGCCTTGCCCAGGAACCTAATGAGGGAGAAAATCATTGCTTAACTTGGGCAAGTTGGACTGCCCAATAATAGTAAAGTTTTAGGTTAGGTAAGTTCAGACCACCCGCCTTATATGGAAGATACAGGACCTGCAAACTAATTCTGGGTGATTCGTTATTCCAAATAAACGAGAAGAGGCTCTGCATGTTTGTGACATTAGAAGATTCTGAAACAAATAACGAAAATGTGGTAATATTGGCATTTTGATGACATTAACTCTGGCCAGAAGAGAAATAGGAAGGAAGTCCGTTCTTTTCAAGTCATTGGTAACCTTTTCAATAACTGGAATGTAGTTCAATTTATACACATCATGTACATTACAGGGTTTGAAAAATCCTAAGTACTTAATATTCGTCAAGGACCATTTCCATTTGAGTTCGTCTTGTAAAGGTTTGGGGTTGAAGATAGATATAGGCATAATCTCTGTCTTGGATCAATTGACTTTATAACCAGATAGTTTACCAAACTCTTCAAGCAATGCCAGGAGGACTGGAATTGAATTATAATTCCTTTAATTTGGTAATGTTATCTAATCATGGCGGCAAGGGGTTCTATGACCAAAACATTCCTGCAGTCAGCATGCCAATTGCACACTCCCTCAAAACTTGAGGCATCTGTGGCATTGTGTTGTGTGACAAAACTGCACATTTTAGAGTGGCCTTTTATTGTCCCCAGCACAAGTTGCACCTGTGTAATGATCATGCTGTTTAATCAGCTTCTTGATATGCCACACCTGTCAGGTGGATGGATTATCTTGGCAAATGAGAAATTGCTCACTAAAAGGGATGTAAAGACATTTGTGCACAAAATTTGAGAGAAATAAGCTTTTTGTGCATATGGAACATTTCAGGGATCTTTTATTTCAGCTCATGATACATGCGACCAACACTTACCGTGTTGCCTTTATATTTTTTGTTGAGGAATGATATATTTATGGATTTAAGGTATTGTTTTCTCTCTATACAACCCGCCTGCCACCCACCCGGGTTATGAGTTACCACCCGCTGCCCTTAAATCTACAATATTTCATGACCCTAAACCTGCGGGTTATGAGTGAACCCACGCATCACTAATAGACGTCGCCTGCTTCCTATCCACTTTCATCACGACACACACACACACACACACGTCAGCAAAATCAGTGTTAATCATCAATAAAACACTCAGTAGTTTTGTTACAACATTCACTTAAAAGTGCATTTTATTCCCTTCAAAAACATTGTCTTTCATTAAAAAACTGAAATAGAATTCCTTTCGTAGCGCATCACTCCTAAGCAGATAATTATTACCTTTGGCAAAAACACCTAAACCGAAACAGGCAAAGCTTTATACAAAACAACACTCAAATAAGCAACCCCTCCATTATATAAAAAACGTACTTAAAGAGGCAATTATATATCTAATCATCGTGGCGGTACACTGGTGAAGTGTTTCCCAACCCTGGTCCTCCAGTAGCCCCAACAGTATAACATTTAGTTGTAACCCTGGACAAACCCACCTGATTCAGCTCATTGAGGGCTTGATGAATGACCAGTTGAATCAGGTGTGCTTGTCCAGGGTTACAATGAAAATGTGTACTGTTGGGGGAACTCGAGAACCGGGGTTGGGAAACACTGCACGAGTGCTTGCTCAAAGATACCTCTGTACATTAACTTTCGGCACCTCACAGACCTGAAGTCAGTTGCTACAGGTAGTGACATTGGGGATAAAACCATGTAGCTATGCATCTCGTTAAAACTCTACTGACACTCGCATATCAACAGGCGATCAGTGACAAAGTCTAGAGGAAAAATATAAGATGAACAGGGAGTGTTTTTTAAAATAAATTAAAAGCCCTATTTTATATCCTTTAAAAAATATATCCTTTATAACTTTATGGCCATTATCAGCAAGTGGGCTATGCCCAGTGCAACCTGCGTATAAAAGACAATAGTCCCATGATGCATCCTGCTACCAAACAATCTAACCAATCACTGCCATGCAACATGATAATCAAGCCATTTCATATGCATGCTTGTGTTACGTTACAAGGCTTGAAGTTCTATAGATTGTCTATCTGGCCCTGTCCTAACCCAGGCGTTGGCAGGAGTGTAGCCTAAAGCATGCAGGGACAACAAGGAGCAATATGTCAGTTAATAATATAAAGGAGTTGCGCTTGAAAATCAATGAGGAGGTAATGAACAGTGTGAACTGGCTTGTACATCTCATTCCTTACTAATATCTGATAGAATCCTCCAACCAAAGACTGCAGGATATGACATTGTGAGGTCAGAAGGTCAAACAGAGGAAGGCATTATGAGGGTTTGTGCGTTGATGTCCGGACAAGGGGCCCATCTTAATAGTCTAAAACGGGGGTCCTCGTCTCCCATCTCCTTTCATCCTGACTAATTAAAAAACAATGGACAGGTGAAGGCGATATGGTGAATGCCTAATGGGAATTTGCTTTCCCTTGTCCATTTTGCAGATGCAGATGTAGTAAAGATGAAGGAGTCAAGGGAAGGAAGCCAGGTAAGACTCCTGAGATGCACCCTACAATAGATGCCTGAGAGACCTAGCCTTTTGTAATAATATTATGTAATTTATATTAGAGTTTAGCCTGTTAGTTATTGAAGCTAGACCACACAGACTGGACCAGGCCTAGAAAGCTCAATAGAGTGTGTTATTAGGGGCTTGGTGACACAGGACACAGATAGAATACCATGGCGCTATGGTGATGTCAATAGTCTGTCTCCAGATTCTGTATCAATCACAGATAATTCCAAGGTATTAGAATATGGGAACATAGAAATAGAATGTATAGAACAGTTTGAGGGTAGCCTCAATTTATACATGAAATGATGTGGCACTATAACCTGGAAGTACGACTGTATGGATACAATGTTGTGGATATGACAAACAAACCAATTACAAAAGACAAAGGAGGCTTCAAGTTACTGAACCTTCAAAAATACCCTTCAAAGTATCTCTGTGCTGGCTAACTACTGGTCATCTGCAACTAATATGTACATCCTATGCATTTCTATGGGCACTGGGGAGTGTCTAGGGGCAAAGGAGTGTCTCGTATTGATGACCTAACTTCAGAAGGAGTTGAGTGATGATTGGTGAAAATATGCGAGTGCTGGAGAGAAGAGGCGGCGGTGCGTTTCTGATATGTGGCTCCCTTGTGCTGTACTGAGAGTGATCGAACAATGGAGACAGAAAGAGAGGTGGCTGATGGGAGATGGAGTTCACACGTTCTGGACATTCATGGAGTCCTGGGGCCAGTTGTAGGTGTCCTGGATGAAGGAGTCGTAGTCGGGGCTGTAGACGTGGGAGAGCACAAATGCCTCCTTGTCCTTGGGCTCCGGGTACAGGGAGGCGATGTTGTGTCTGTAAGCATAGTCCACCACCTGAGTGATTGGTCGAGAGAAAGGGCATTGAGTTAGAGCGCTGATGCAGTGTCTTTCTCTGCAGTAACATGGGTGTGGATGTGGGAATGTAATGTTGGTATTGATGATGGTTTGTGGGGAGGTGTCGGTCTCCAACCTTGACAGCGATCTTAAAGGACACCTCTCTGATGCTGTTGAGGGGAGGGTAGAGTCTCCCTTCGGCTAGGTGCTCCTCTGTTACCATGTCAGCTATCGCCTGAGCGAGAGACAGAGAGAGAGACAGAGAGAAACAGGAAATGTAACAAATAAGTGAATAAATGAGGGGGGAAGGATTTGCGCAAGAGAAGTGAAGCGAGAAAGAGGGTTATGGGTGACAGAAAGAGAAGAGAATGGAAAATAGAAAGTGCGATGTGACATTAAAATAAAATAACTTCTCAAAAATGTGTGTGTGTGACTGTGTGTGTGTGTGGATTTCTCTTGATCAAGTCTCTTCCCCTTTACCTCTGCAGTTAGGGAACTTTTGTTTGTCTTTCGTTGAAATGTTTTACGAAAGTCTGTCTTTTGCTGAAAATGTGATAATAAAAGACAAACAGTTACCTCAGCTGTGGTGAGGAAGATGTCGTCAGAGATTTGGCGCACCCCGCATGCGATGACCCCCAGCGCCACGCCAGGGAACACGTAGGCGTTGTTCCCCTGGCCGGGGATGAAGGAGCGCCCATCAGCCAGGGTCACTTTACTAAAGGGGCTGCCACTCGCAAAGATGCCCCGCCCCTGGGAGAGGGAGAGAGAGAGCATGAGAGAGAGAGCATGAGAGAGAGAGAGAGAGAGAGAGCATGAGAGAGAGAGCATGATAGAGCATGAGAGAGAGAGCATGAGAGAGAGAGAGAGAGAGAGAGCATGAGAGAAAGAGAGAGCATGAGAGAAAGAGAGAGCATGAGAGAGAGAGAATGAGAGAGAGAGAGAAAGCATGAGAGAGAGAGAGAGAGAGAGCATGAGAGAGAGAGAGAGCATGAGATAGAGAGAGAGCATGAGATAGAGAGAGAGCATGAGATAGAGAGAGCATGAGAGAGAGCATGAGAGAGAGAGAGAGAGAGAGAGAGAGCATGAGAGAGAGCGTATCAGAGAGAGAGAGAGAGCATGAGAGAGAGAGAGAGCGAGAGAGAGCATGAGAAAGAGAGAGCATGAGAGAGAGCATGAGAGAGCATGAGAGAGAGAGCATGAGAGAGAGCATGAGAGAGAGAGAGAGAGCATGAGAGAGAGAGCATGAGAGAGAGCGCATGAGAGAGAGAGAGAGAGCATGAGAGAGAAAGAGCATGAGAGAGAGAGAGAGAGAGAGCATGAGAGAGAGAGAGAGAGAGAGCATGAGAGAGAGAGAGAGCATGAGAGAGAGAGAGAAAGAGCATGAGAGAGCAAGAATATTTAGTAAGCGTACATTCAGCGGCACTCAAACAAGGGAACAGAGAGTGAATCTATATTCTCTAGGTTAGGGTCAGAGGTCAGAGAGGTGAGTGTTACAGTACCTCGGTGAGTTGGTAGCACTGCTCGGCGGTGCACTCTGCCTTGCTGGTGGGGTTGCTCAGGGCGAAGATGATGGGCCTCTCGTTGAAGGACGCCATGTCCTTGATGATGTTTTCAGTAAATGCCCCTCCGATGGCCGCCACACCTGCACACAGGAAAAGAGTACTGAGTGTGAGAATAAAACATACAGTGGGGGAAAAAAGTATTTAGTCAGCCACCAATTGTGCAAGTTCTCCCACTTAAAAATATGAGAGAGGCCTGTAATTTTCATCATAGGTACACGTCAACTATGACAGACAAAATGAGAAAAAAAAAATCCAGAAAATCACATTGTAGGATTTTTAATGAATTTATTTGCAAATTATGGTGGAAAATAAGTATTTGGTCAATAACAAAAGTCTCTCAATACTTTGTTATATACCCTTTGTTGGCAATGACACAGGTCAAACATTTTCTGTAAGTCTTCACAAGGTTTTCACACACTGTTGCTGGTATTTTGGCCCATTCCTCTGTGCAGATCTCCTCTAGAGCAGTGATGTTTTGGGGCTGTCGCTGGGCGACACGGACTTTCAACTCCCTCCAAAGATTTTCTATGGGGTTGAGATCTGGAGACTGGCTAGGCCACTCCAGGACCTTGAAATGCTTCTTACGAAGCCACTCCTTCGTTGCCCGGGCGGTGTGTTTGGGATCATTGTCATGCTGAAAGACCCAGCCACGTTTCATCTTCAATGCCCTTGCTGATGGAAGGAGGTTTTCACTCAAAATCTCACGATACATGGCCCCATTCATTCTTTCCTTTACACGGATCAGTCGTCCTGGTCCCTTTGCAGAAAAACAGCCCCAAAGCATGATGTTTCCACCCCCATGCTTCACAGTAGGTATGGTGTTCTTTGGATGCAACTCAGCATTCTTTGTCCTCCAAACACGACGAGTTGAGTTTTTACCAAAAAGTTCTATTTTGGTTTCATCTGACCATATGACATTCTCCCAATCCTCTTCTGGATCATCCAAATGCACTCTAGCAAACTTCAGACGGGCCTGGACATGTACTGCTTAAGCAGGGGGACACGTCTGGCACTGCAGGATTTGAGTCCCTGGCGGCGTAGTGTGTTACTGATGGTAGGCGTTTGTTACTTTGGTCCCAGCTCTCTGCAGGTCATTCACTAGGTCCCCCCGTGTGGTTCTGGGATTTTTGCTCACCGTTCTTGTGATCATTTTGACCCCACGGGGTGAGATCTTGCGTGGAGCCCCAGATCGAGGGAGATTATCAGTGGTCTTGTATGTCTTCCATTTCCTAATAATTGCTCCCACAGTTGATTTCTTCAAACCAAGCTGCTTACCTATTGCAGATTCAGTCTTCCCAGCCTAGTGCAGGTCTACAATTTTGTTTCTGGTGTCCTTTGACAGCTCTTTGGCCTTGGCCATAGTGGAGTTTGGAGTGTGACTGTTTGAGGTTGTGGACAGGTGTCTTTTATCCTGATAACAAGTTCAAACAGGTGCCATTAATACAGGTAACGAGTGGAGGACAGAGGAGCCTCTTAAAGAAGAAGTTACAGGTCTGTGAGAGCCAGAAATCTTGCTTGTTTGTAGGTGACCAAATACTTATTTTCCACCATAATTTGCAAATAAATTCATTAAAAATTCTACAATGTGATTTTCTGGAAAGAAAATTCTCAATTTGTCTGTCATAGTTGACGTGTACCTATGATGAAAATTACAGGCCTCTCACATCTTTTTAAGTGGGAGAACTTGCACAATTGGTGGCTGACTAAATACTGTTTTCCCCCACTGTACATAAGATGCTGATGCTCTGCAATGTTGATTATCTGTCCGTTTTAATTCAGCTTCTGAGCTTAGTGGCATTATGAAGAACATGTTGTGTAATACTATGCATGCCACTCTCTCTGTGCTAAGAGTTGAGGCGAGACTGACTGCATCACTTCTTCTTTAACAAAAAAATAAAACCAGGTAAGCCAGTTGAGAACAAGTTCTCATTTACAACTGCGACCTGGCCAAGATAAAGCAAAGCAGTGCGATAAAAACAACAACAACACAGAGTTACATATGGGATAAACAAAACATACAGTCTATAACACAATAGAAAATATATATACAGTGTGTGCAAATGTAGTAAGTTATGGAGGTAAGGCAATAAATAGGCCATAGTGCAAAATATTTACAATTATAATTTTGTATTAACACTGGAGTGATAGATGTGTTGGAAATCTCTAATTGTTTGCATAGTCAACTTACACAAAGCTCTGACACACACACTTACCCCACCAGACATGCCACCAGGGGTCTTTTTACAGTCTCCAAATCCAGAACAAATTCAAGAAAGTGTCCAGTATTATATAGAGCCATTATCGCATGGATCTCCGTTCCATCTCATATTGCTCAAATGCTAATGGGAATCCTAATAAAATACCAAATACCAAAAAAGTAAGGTCAAGAGAAACCAGGGACGTGTTCTGTGGGCATGAAATGGGGGTAAATGTTGACACAACGGTGGCACTCAAAATGTTTTCTCATTTCGGGCCTAGTACATAACCCAGGTGAGCCCTAGTTACACAGGTGAGCCCAACTGAGCCAGTAGGTCAGGGTTCTTCAATTCCGGTCCTGGAGGGCCGAAACACCTCTGTTTTTCACCCTCTCCTTCTAATCAGGGGCTAATTCAGACCTGGGACACCAGGTGAGTGCAATTAACTACCAGGTAGAAATAAAAAACAGAAGTGTTTCGGCCCTCCAGGACCGGAATTGAAGAACCCTGCAGTAGGTGATCATGGGGACTGACCGATGATGGCAGTGGGCTTGATGGTGTGCACCACCTCCTCCAGGGTCTTGATGTGGGCGTGGTCATGGGCAAACTCCTCCTTCTCATGGTTCAGGTTTCCTCTGCCCTGTGGGTCGCATAATGATGACATCAGTAAGTCTAACATACAACTGGATCCAGTTCAGGAGGGAGCAACGTTCTGAATGTTGCCGATACAAAATGACTGACATTCCCTATTCTACATGACAGCGCAGCATGACTGTTCTACATATGATATTTCTATCTGAAGCTCTAGGATGTTGCATCCTACATGTCTAGTCGTACTCCTGAGTGGCGCAGTGGTCTAAGGCACTGCATCGCAGTGCTAACTGTGTCACTAGAGATCCTGGTTCGAATCCAGGCTCTGTCGCAGCCGGCCGCGACCGGGAGACTCATGGGCGGCGCACAATTGGCCCAGCGTCGTCCAGGGTAGGGGAGGGAATGGCCGGCCGGGATGTAGCTCAGTTGATAGAGCATGGCGTTTGCAACGCCAGGGTTGTGGGTTCGATTCCCACGGGGGGCCAGTATAAAAAAATATGTATTCACTAACTGTAAGTCGCTCTGGATAAGAGCGTCTGCTAAATGACTAAAATGTAAAATGTAAAATGTAGATGGACAGCTCAGGAGAAGGCTTATCAGATCAGTGTTTTGAAGCTATTCAAGTGTATTAGGAGCAATGTTCCCACTAAGCTGCGCGCGTGTCTGCAGCTCCCCCGGGACTGCGCCGCAGAAGAAATATCAGCCCGCACAGAGAAGCATGAGACTGAACTTCACTCAACGTTCTAGAGTTTTCCCCCTTAGTTAACACTGTCAATGTTTTCCTTTACTGTGGGAATTGTGATCGAATCAATGCAATATTAGCCACTTTCAATGCAACATACCGAAACAAAACTAACTATGCAAGATATTTTGTTGTAGGTAGAACGCATCAGAGTATGATTCCATTGACACGCACGATTCAGCCCGTACTCTACACTAACCGGTGCGGCATAACCAATCATAGCTGCAGTAGGCCTATATGCAAATAGACCATTGCCATTTATGGATCTGTGCCATTCACTTTGAACTGGACTGTTTACAGCTGTGGTCGTGAGTAGATGCACTTGTTTTGAGATCAAAGCGAGAGCTACATGTAGCGACGTGTGTTCAACCTTCCCAAGTTCTCTCACGTCACCCCGCTCCTCCGCACACTACACTGGCTTCCAGTTGAAGCTCGCATCTGCTACAAGACCATGGTGCTTGCCTACGGAGCTGTGAGGGGAACGGCACCTCCGTACCTTCAGGCTCTGATCAGTCCCTACACCCAAACGAGGGCATTGCGTTCATCCACCTCTGGCCTGCAGCCTCCCCTACCTCTGCTGAAGCACAGTTCCTGCTCAGCCCAGTCAAAACTGTTCGCTGCTCTGGCACCCCAATGGTGGAACAAGCTCCCTCATGACGCCAGGACAGCGGAGTCACTCACCACCTTCCGGAGACATTTGAAACCCCACCTATTTTGTAAAGTGGTTTCTTGCATCAAACAACACAACAACATTTTCAGTCACCTCCTTGTCTGAAGGACAAGTGGATAAACAGGTTAATGTCAAGCCCTGCATGTTATTTTTTTCAAAAGTCTCATGGAATGTAGGCGTATATTGAACACCACACATTGGCTGCTACTGTAGGCTGAATGATAGAACAGCATGTTAAAATGTTATGGGATGTATTTTCTCCATTGTTTTTGACGGTAGGCCACACTGGTAACCCTACATTATGATCAAATAGCCACAGAAGCCAACTTGACCACTGTCTGAAACTGTAACTTCAAGTGGATACAGCCTCAGTGTTCACAGTAAACGCGCGCTGGAAGTTGCACCGAATTTTCACAATGTTCAAGTTTGCGCTCAGCAGACCTGAAATTTGCTCAGTGCCAAATGTATTTTGAGGGAACATTGATTAGGAGGTTAGCTATGATATTAGGGTATTGCCGTTACCTTGACGATGAGGCCCCTGGAGTCGACCATCCAGATCTTCTTTGCAGCGTCCGTGGCGGACACGCCCTCCTTCGCCATGGCCATGATCAGCAGGTGGGCGATGCCCAGTGCAGCCTGGTTAAAAAAGACACATCGTCCCATGATGCATCCTGCTGCCAAGCAATCTAACCAATCACTGCCATGCAACATGATGATTATCAATCCATTTCATATGCATGCTTGTGTTACCTTACAAGGCTTGATTCAAGAGAGTGAGGTTTCCAAACGTTAATAAGTTTTGGACAAAGAGTTTATAATTAACACAGATCAGCACGTTTGTCCTCCTACCTCCCCTGCTCCCTGGAACACAAAGGTGTGGTCTGACAGTTTGTTCTTGATGATCTTCAAAGCAGCCAAGACCCCAGCTACTGCTACCGAGGCTGTGCCTGGGAGAGGGAGAGAGTGAGTTAGAGAGGGTGATAAACACGAGGGATGGGTTGGAAAGTTGTGCTCGGAATGGTTTTCCACATCTATCTTTCAACAAAACAAAAAATTATATAATGTGTCATCAGGATGTCATCCGTGAACCACACAGCCTACAAATCCCAATAACTGTCCATGGTAGGTTTGCAAAAAACAAAACAAATAAAGTTGTATTTATTTATTATTTTGGGTTAAAAAAACACTCCAGGCCACTCTTATAGAATAGAGAAAGTATGTAGAAATTATAATGGACCTATACGTTTTCAAATAAATGCCCTCTATCTGGGCCGCAAATTGCTTTTGACAAACAAATCGGTCCGGGAAAGATTCTGTGTGGCCCTCCGCTGAATTTTGAAAATCCCGATATGGGAGTGGGAGTAGATTTTGAATAGGGTCTGAGAGATTACCTTGGATGTCATCATTGAAGGTGCAGTAGTGGTTGCGGTACTTGTTGAGGAGGCGGAAGGCGTTGGCATTGGCAAAATCCTCAAACTGGATCAGACAGTTCATCCCGTACCTGCAGCGTAGAGCAGTGAACAGTCGGTCAGATAGTCAAATTACACAGCCCCACCCACCCACACACACACACTACCCACTTGTCAGTAACTGCCTGCATGAACTCATCGATGAGATCATCATACTCCTTTCCTCTGACCCTCTTGTGCTTTAGACCGATATACAGGGGGTCTTCCAGGAGCGCCTGATCAAAGATTAAACATCATCAACTTCACACTCTACGACAAGGAGCAGGGTTTGGGTTAAGGCTAGGTTTAAAATCCGGTTTTATGACTTTGTGGCTGTGCAAGCTAGCGACCACTCTGCAGAGCTGCCTTTAGCATATGAGTAATCTCAATAAATGTCAACCTGCCGACGAGGACCTCTAGGGAAATAAGGGAAGTAACTAAGTGATAGTGGAGCCCTGAATTGCAAATGACTTCTAGCCCCTCCTCCCTAAGCACTTCTGTAGATCTGAAGGCACCTATCCAACCCCATCAGATTTACAGGTCTATGAGTATGACGGGGGGGCTAGAGGTCGATTTGGAATTGAACAATACTGTTATTCAATCATGGTGAATCCCAAAATGATTGGATTCTTACCATAACCCTACATAGATCCCACGGTCATAGAACTAACAGTAATACATTTAGTTCACTAGGTAAGATACTGCCTTTTCTATATGGCTGGGTCAAATGAGAAGTACCGTGATATTAGCCTACGAAGGCCCATCAGGCCTGGGTGTTTCCTCATGGAGTGTCCCAGTTGAAGTACCTGGTTGTCGGTGCCCACGTCCAGCAGCACTGGCAGACACTGTTGGGGTGGCACTCCTCCGCAGGCCGTGTACAGGGCCAGTTTGCCCACGGGGATGCCCATGCCGTAACTACCCAGGTCCCCCAGACCCAGGATACGCTCTCCGTCCGTCACCACGATGGCCTGTGGAATACACACACAAGGTTTGGTTCACATGGTGAAACTTCTAGTCTCCAGCTAAGAGCCTTATGCTGTTTACGACCTCCTGTCCACATCCTGTACAATGGAGTAAAGTAAAGTAAAGCGTGTGTGTTTGTGGTACTCCTCACCTTGATGTTCTCCTCAGGCCAGGAGTTGAGCATGGTGGCGATGTGGCCTTTATCATGGATGGTGATGAAGAGACCTCTGTGGGATACATGCTAACACTTCAGAACCACTGAGACACTATTATCACACAACAATTCCCTGTCTCTGTGTGTGTGTGTGTGTGTGTGTGTGTGTGTGTCATGCCTACCGTGGTCTCCTGAAGGCCAGTCCGTACTGTTGGCAGGCCAGCCCTACAGTAGGCGTATAGACGATGGGCATGAACTCCTCTACATCAGACGTCAGCAGGCGGTAAAACAACTTCTCATTCCTGTCCTGCAAAGTCATCAGCAAAATGTACCTGAGAGAGAGCGAGAGAGATAGAGATGGTGAGAGAGAGATGTAAGAGAGAGAAATAAATAGAGAGAGCGAGAGAGAGAGAGAGAGAGAGAGAGAGAGAGAGAGAGATAAATAAATAGATAGAGAGACAGAGAGAGAGAGAGAGAGAGAGAGAGAGAGCAACAGGAGATGTAGGATGAGGTGAAACAGAGAGCTGGAAGTGATAGTGATGATAATGATAGTGATGATAGTACTAGTGATGATAGTAATAGTGATGATAGTGCTAGTGCTAGTGATGATAGTAATAGTGATTATAGTGATAGTGATGATAGTGCTAGTGATGATAGTGATAGTGATGATAATGATTTGTGATAATGAGGGGGGAGGAAAGCTAATGTATTTCTGTCTGTATGTGTATTTTTAGCCATCTTGTGTATGTTTGTTTGTATATGTAAGTGTATTATTTGTTTCTGTGTGTGTGTGTGTATTTGTGCTCACTTGTCGAGGGGGGTGCGGCCCTCATAGCTTCTCATGATGCGGAGCACCTGGATGTCCTGGGAGAGGAAGACGGGGGGCAGCAGGCCGTGGATGCCCAGCTGCAGGCGCTCCTGCAGGGTGAAGGCCATGCCCTACAGGGGGGATGGAGGACCACACATCCAACATTCGGATCAATCGCTCCAATATTGTAGCAGTGATCTAGCTAGCATTGGTCTAGCTAGCTGTTGTTCACAAAAACACCCAGCTATCAGGTCTTTACAATTATTGTATTTGATCGAGAAGCTTTGGTGCTTTAGCTGTGTTGTGGTTCTGATCATGTTTAGCATTCATTTATTAGGCCTCTTGCATGAAGGAAAATTAATATGGTTGCTCAGTGGGCTGATTGGGTCATGACTGAGGTCTGGTTGTGGTTAGTGCCACTCTACTTTGTCATGTCAGTATTCTGGAGGGGTGTGTTTGAGCGTTTGGGAGAGGGGAGGTCATCTATTTATTCTGTCCAATAGGATAGGAGCCTGAATTCCCTCCCCTGCGAACTCCCTTCTAATCTCTGCTTTCCTCTTTCTCACACACACGCCCTACCTCTTCTTTCTTCAATGGAAAGAATTCTTCTGAAAGCCAGAGAGGCACGTCATGGAAATAAATCACATTTTAAAAACTTATCAGGAACTTGCTACAGTAAATATACCACTATTGTACTGTCACTATGTAAAGTTGTGATAGTGTAATGTGACACTTGCACCTGTGGTTTAGTTTCCATTAATAATAAATGCCTATTAATGTGTCAATCAAAGTGACACTCTCTCCTACTATGAGATGTTAACCTTCAAATGGAACCTAATCCACTTCCTCATTTTAGTGTGATTACAAGTGGAGAATTTGAACTGGATTTGAGAGTGCATTGTTTAAGGAACCTAAGAACTGTTTGATGGTGTGACCCTTCAAACGGCAAATCATTCAACACATTGAAGGGTGAATGGGGTATAAATACACAAAAAATACAAGATGGAAATACATTATTCGTACACTCATACAGTGCATTTGGAAAGTATTCAGATCCATTGACTTTTTCCAGCCTTATTCTAAAATTGACAAAGCTAATGACGAAGCAAAAACTGGTTTTTAGAAATTTGGGCAAATAAAAAACCCTGGAAATATTACATTTACATAAGTATTCAGACCCTTTACTCAGTACTTTGTTGAAGCACCTTTGGCAGCGATTACAGCCTCGAGTCTTCTTGGGTATGACGCTACAATCTTGGCACACCTGTATTTGGGGAGTTTCTCCCATTCTTCTCTGCAGATCCTCTCAAGCTCTGTCAGGTTGGATGGGGACCGTCACTGCACAGCTATTTTCAGGTCTCTCCAGAGATGTTCGATCGGGTTCAAGTCCGGGCTCTGGCTGGGCCACTCAAGGACTTTCAGAGACTTGTCCCGAAGCCACTCCTGCGTTGACTTGGCTGTGTGCTTAGGGTTGTTGTCCTGTTGGAAGGTGAACCATCGCCCCAGTCTGAGGTCCTGAGCGCTCTGGAGTCGGTTTTCATCAAGGATCTCTCTGTACTTTGCTCCGTTCATCTTTCCCTCAATCCTGACTAGTCTCCCAGTCCCTGCCACTGAAAAACATCCCCACAGCATGATGCAGCCACCACCATACTTCACCGTAGGGATGGTGCCAGGTTTCCTCCAGACGTGACGCTTGGCATTCAGGCCAAAGAGTTCAATCTTGGTTTCATCAGACCAGAGAATGTTTTCGCTTTGTCATTATGGGGTATTGTGTGTAGATTGTTGAAGAAAACATTTTATTTAATCAATTTAAGAATAAGGCTGTAACTTAACAAAATGTGGAAAAAGTCAAGGGGTCTGAATACTTTCCGAATGCACTATATATCATTCTGACACACACACACACACACACACACACACACACACACACACAGATTAATCGAGTTAAAGTAAACCTGTCAGATAGAGTAGCAGTTAGAGGCCCTAAAGTAAACCCCTTAAAGAAGCAGCTGACTAGCGACCGCAATTACACCTTCAGTCTACATTGACCTCCATAGAGAGAGAGAGAGAGAGCGAGTGTGAAAGAGAGAGAGAAAGAGTGTGAGAGAGTGTGAGAGAGAGTGAGAGCGAGAGACAGGTATGTACATAGTCAATGGTAGGCTTCGAGGGGACTCCTATGGTAGGTACACCTATAGCTCATCTCTTGGCAGTAGTACTGTAGACTACTTTATCACTGACTTGAACCCAGAGTCTCTCGCGTTCACAGACAGCCCACTGACACCCCTATCAGACCACAGCAAAATCACAGTCTACTTGAACAGAGCAATACTCAATCATGAGGCATCAAAGCCAAAGGAACTGAATAATATTAAGAAATGCTATAGATGGAAGGAAAGTAGTGTCGAAACCTACCAAAAAACAATTAGGCAACAGCAAATTCAATCCATTCTAGAATTGGCAAAAAAATGTTTTGCAAAAAACACACACATTTCTTTCCACAGGGCCGTGGGGTGAGATAGGGATGCAGTTTAAGCCCCACCCTCTTCAACATATATATCAACAAATTGGCGAGGGCACTAGAACAGTCTGCAGCACCCTACTAGAATCTGAAGTCAAATGTCTACTGATGATCTGGTGCTTCTGTCACCATCCAAGGAGGGCCTACAGCAGCAAAAATATCCTCTGTGTACAACGAAAAACACCTAATAATGCATGCAGAGCAGAATTAGGCCAATACCCGCTAATTATCAAAATCCAGAAAAGAGACGTTAAATTCTATAACCACTTAAAAGGAAGCGATTCCCAAACCTTCCATAACAAAGCCATCACCTACAGAGAGATGAACATGGAGAAGAGTCCCCTAAGTAAGAGAGGCTAAAGAGGCTAACGAGGCTATAGAGAGGCTATAGAGGGGCTATAGAGAGGCTATAGAGGCTAACGAGGCTATAGAGAGGCTATAGAGGGGCTATAGAGGGGCTATAGAGAGGCTATAGAGGCTATAGAGAGGCTATAGAGAGGCTATAGAGGCTATAGAGAGGCTATAGAGAGGCTATAGAGGCTATAGAGGCTATAGAGGCTAACGAGGCTAGGCTATAGAGAGGCTATAGAGAGGCTATATAGGCTATAGAGGCTATAGAGAGGCTATAGAGGCTAACGAGAGGCTATAGAGGCTATAGAGGCTATAGAGAGGCTATAGAGAGGCTATAGAGGCTATAGAGAGGCTATAGAGAGGCTATAGAGAGGCTATAGAGAGGCTATAGAAGCTATAGAGAACCCAGGGCCCATTTGAACTTACATCTGCAAGGGCAAACATGATCAGAATCAGAACCATACTTGCATTTCACTCTTCAACCTTTATGTCAGGGGTCGGAACCAGGCACACAACTTATATTATTCACATTCCAGCGTGGTCCATTATTAATATTTTCCATATGGTCGGGTGTAACATACTGTATTGGTACAGCAGCACATTGTAAGCATTAATCAGGTTTTCTATCTACAAATCCATGATGGCACCAACCCCACGACTTCTCAACAGCATGTGTGTTTAATGGTCCGGAACAGGGTTAACATACACACATACTGAATGCGGTTACATGCACACAATAATGCGATTATTGTGGATAGTCAGATTAATATAATAGTTTGATTAAAACGTTGACATGCTTTGTAAGAAGAACGATTTCCCTGATAATCCTGTTTACATGGACACATCTGAAATCAGGCTACCTGATGGCACTCTGAAAATGTAGAAAATCGCAGATCAAAATAAACGTTCTACCACAGCGAATATGTTATTTTTAGGTAGCATATTTGATTCTGAGTTCGGACAACGTTTCAATGTGAAAACTACTTCCAAGACGCATACATTCATTCCAAACACACTTCACTTGCGCTAAAGAGGGAGGCTTGTGCTGCTGGTGCTGCCACATGCGCAGATCAAACACACCCCTGGAATTCTGATGAAGGCGTTTACATGTTCTAATAATTCTAAAGATTTCTCAGAAAACCAGGCGTCCTGAATGAGAGCAGTGGCTTTTCATCTGATGGCACTGCACTGTCTGTGGTGGTCTAGGGGCAGGGATCATCAACTAGATTCAGCCGCAGGCCGATTATTTATTCAGCGATGGTCAGGAGGCCGGAACATAATTACAAATAATTTGTAGACCGCAAATTGATCGCAAGAAGCCCAAACAGATATAATATTTGACTAAAACATAATAATTTCAAACCTTGCTTACATTTGTATACAATCACATACACTGAGTGTACAAAACATTAAGAACACCTTCCTAATATTGAGTTACAGCCTCAATTTGTCTGGGAATGGACTCTACAAGGTGTCGAAAGCGTTCCACAGGGATGCTGGCCCATGTTGACTCCAATGCTTTCCACAGTTGTGTCAAGATGGCTGGATGTCCTTTGGATGGTGGACCATTCTTGATACAAACGGGAAACTGTTGAGTGTGAAAAACCCAGCAGCATTGCAGTTCTTGACACAAACCGGTGCGCCTGGCACCTACTACCATACCCCATTTAAAGGCACTTAAATATTTTGTCTTGCCCATTCACCCACTGAATGGCACACATATACACAATCAATGTCTCAATTGTCTCAAGGCTTAAAAATCATTATTTAACCTGTCTCCTCCTCTTCATCTACACTGATTGAAATTACATCAATAGCTTTCACCTGGATTCACCTGGTCAGTCTATGTCATGGAAAGAGCATGTGTCCTTATAGTGGAACTGACAGCATTTTAGCAACATGAAATCTTTTAAAAATCTGATCATATACACCCTCAGGAAGATTATGACATCTTTTGTTTTTACATTTTCTAACAAGCGAGCACTTAGATATGGCCATTTTCACAAATTCATAGAATGTTTGGGAATTACGTATATGTAGTAAGGCATTTGTCAAAATTCTATAGCAACACAGAGTGGGAGGGCGGCCGTGCGTTTGGACAATTAATAAACACTGCAGCAAATAAAACATTAAAACGTCTGTCTTGTCCAGAACCGGAGCCTGCACAGACCGGTGCGCCATAGCCAATCAGAGCTATAGTAGGCCTATATGCAAATAAGCCAATTGCCACACCGGCCTGCCATCATTCACTTTGAACTGGACTGTGTGTTACAGGCAGTAGCAACAAGTGCGTATTTAGATAATTAGAACGCATTCGCCAAAAAATACACCTGAATGGGTTTCTGCAAATATGTAAATACCACGGGAGTCCTCTTACATTTGGGAACGTCACAGTCCTATTGATGAAACAACCATGAAAAGGTAGGCTCTCACTCCCTCAGTTGCCTATGTACATGAACAACAACAAGATCAACAACTAGCTAATGCTAGCCAGAACGAGATGAGCTCAAATCTAACGAGGGAACATTAGATAAACCCTCTCCAACTTTTTCAGCTAGTTGGCCGTCAAAATTACACTGATAAACGATGGGGAATAGTAGCCTGCTCGTCCTTCTGCAGGTTGTCTACCAAAGCATGCTTGTCCCAACCCACGTTTTGACAACGGAATGGGAACTTGCCTGCCCGCCCATTTGATCGATGCCAAATACATTTGATTGACAACTAAGAGATATGCTAACTGTGGATAAGTCATTCAGCATAGCTAGCTAGCTAGCAAAGCGATTCACATTTCTTGCTAGCTAACCAAATGACACCTGCATCTCTAGCTGTCACCACTGAAAAACGATATGTCACTCACTCACTCCTCCAATGACATGACATCCTCCTAGTAGCTAGCTAGCTAACGTTAGACTCAGTGTTTTTAGCTTGCTAAATAAATAATGAATGCCGCATTTCTGTATGGTGCACTCAACGTCTTATAGTTGAGTAGCCAGCCTAGGTTACTGCTCAAATGTTGCTGTAATAGGCCTACATGTTTCTCCTTAACATGGTGTTTGGTTGCAGGTTTAGTTTTTTGGTTATTCATTGTCAAGCTTTAAAAACCGAAGCCAGACTGCAACATTTTAGTAGCCTAGCTAGGACTGTGGCATTTCTGTACACTTTCCCTCCGTTGCATGTGCATGTTGTAAATGGTACACACGAAAGCAGCACAATTGAAGTTGAATTCCCCGATGCGAGCACATCAGGCTGTAATTTCATGAAGTAGAGGACTCAACTGCTGACTCATTTATACTCACTTGTGTGTCCGCATGTGAATCCTTTATCTTATAACTTTTTGACAAGCAAGATTACATTTTCTGTAGGCTACAGTAATGACCTGTTGGAACCGAAACTTGGCATGGACATTTAGCCTACAACATGTTTAAACTTTTGGTCTGGTAGAAGATTTGGTCAATGCCATTAGTGATGATATGATATAGCTCGTGTGTGGGTGGGTCTGGGAGGAGAGTTGTGTGTGTGGCAATGCACTGCCGTTTGGCGTGCAGCACGTTGGCAGTGCTTGCTCTGACTTGTAGTGCAGCGGACCGTATGGTAGCGGGCCAAAATGAATTGACAACCCAAATCATTGCGCGGGTCGGATAGAAATGTGTCACGCCTTGTGTTTGATACGTGCGCTAGCCGATTACCCATGTTATGACTGACTTGTGATCATTGCCCTTGCTAGTTTGATTTACAACCAGACAGCAATATTTTTGGACTACCAAGAGATATATTGGTGAATTATATTAATAATGCATTGAACTGCATCCATCTAGAATGCATTCAGAAAGTACTCAGACTTTTTCCACATTTTGTTACTTAACAGCCTTATTCTAAAATTATTATTTTTTAAACCAATTCTCAATCTATACACAATACCCCATAATGACAAAGAAAAAACAGGTTTTTAGAATTTTTGCAAATGTATTAAAAATAAAAAACAGAAACACCTTATTTACATAAGTATTCAGACCCTTTGCTATGAGACTCGAAATTGAGCTCAGGTGCATCCATTGATCATCCTTGAGATGTTTCTACAACTGGATTGGAGTCCACCTGTGGTCATTTCAATTGATTGGACATGATTTGGAAAGGCACACACCTGTCTATTTAAAGGTCCCACAGTTGACCGTGCATGTCATAGCAAAAACCAAGCCATGAGGTCGAAGGAATGGTCCGTAGGGCACAGATCTGGGGAAGGGTACCCAAAAATGTCTGCAGCATTGAAGGTCCCCAAGAACATAGTGGCCTCCATCATTCTTAAATGGATGAAGTTTGGAACCACCAAGACTCTTCCTAGAGCTGGCCGACCGGCCAAACTGAGCAATCGGGGGAGAAGGGCCTTGGTCAGGGAGGTGACCAAGAACCCGATGGTCACTCTGACAGAGCTCCAGAGTTCCTCTGTGGAGATGGGAGAACCTTCCAGAAGGACAACCATCTCTGCAGCACTCCACCAATCCGGCCCTTAGGGTAGAGTGGCCAGACAGAAGCCACTCCTCAGTAAAAGGCACATGACAGCCCGCTTGGAGTTTGCCAAAAGGCACCTAAAGGACTCTCAGACCATGAGAAACAGGATTCTCTGGTCTGATGAAACCAAGATTGAACTCTTTGGCCTGAATGCCAAGCGTCACATCTGGAGGAAACCTGGCACCATCCCTACGGTGAAGCATGGTGTTGGCAGCATCACGCTGTGGGTATGTTTTTTAGTGGCAGGGACTGGGAGACTAGTCAGGATCGAAGGAAAGATGAACGGAGCAAAGTACAGAGAGATCCTTGATGAAAACCTGCTCCAGAGCACTCGACCTCAGACTGGGGTGGGGTTCACCTTCCAACAGGACAACGACCCTAAGCACACAGCCAAGACAACGCAGTAGTGGCTTCGGGACAAGTCTCTGTATGTCCTTGAGTGGCCCAGCCAGAGCCCGGACTTGAACGCGATTGAACATCTCTGTAGAGACCTGAAAATAGCTGTGCAGCGACGCTCCCCATCCAACCTGACAGAGCTTGAGAGGATCTGCAGAGAAGAATGGGAGAAACTCCCCAAATATAGGTGTGCCTAGGGTTATTTATTTTTAATAAATAAAAACCTGTTTTTGCTTTGTCATTATGGGGTATTGTGTGTGTATATTGATGAGGGAAAAAAACAATTGAATTAATGTTAGAATAAGGCTGTAAAGTAACAAAATGAGGAAAAAGTCAAGGGGTCTGAATACTTTCTGAATGCACTGAATTTTGCCAACAATCCCTTACTGTATGTCATGGATTTTTTTGTGAAATAGAACCTATTTTTAAAACCTATTATAAAGTTGGTTTTGTAACATAAAACTGGACATTTTATATTTTTTACTGATATTACTGTCTGTTTCATATCTGCAAAGTAGTTCAAACGCTGTCAGTTCCACTTTAATGTTTTGTACACTCAGTGTATATCTCTCTATTATGTGTGAGAATACTTTGGAACAGATTTCCAAAATTAAAATCCCTTGGAGCTGATTTTCTGGTGTTTTTACAGTCTCTTATGTCCAACAATTTAATACAAATAAAATATATATTTTAAATTTTTTGCTCAGAAAATCAGGGGCTGCCAGTTGGGGGACCTTGATCTAGGGCTTTACCTTGTTCAGGTGTGGGTTTCTGGTGATGTCATAACCGCGCTTCTTGGTGTTGACGCTGCCCTTGGAGCCCGAGTGACACCCTCTGACGGCCTCGAGGCAAGTCACACAGGCTATGGTGACAGGGTGACCTGGTGCACCCATGAGGACCCTCATAGCGCCCGCTGTGGTGCTTCTGCACAGCGACACACTCCTTCCCGGTAGGGAGTTCATATTTCCTGTGAAGAGAGAGGTCGGGAGAGGGGCTGTGAGACTGAAATAAGTGCCGGTACTCATTTTGGGTGCCGGTACAGTTTATATTTAGGTGCAGGAGCTCCACAATACTTTTGAGCTAATATGCTATAAGAGGAACAGGAGAAGAAGCAGTAGAAATGTTGAGGTGCCGGTACTCAGCACCGGTGAGCTCCTGCCCAAGTCAAGCACTGCAATGGTTACATATCGGTTGACCATTGGTGATGACTTGTCCTAAATCACAAGACAGACGACCTAGAATTCCATGCATGCAACATGCACAGCCTATTCAAGTTCAGCAAGGTTGCCCTCCACATATAGTTAACGACGTTAGGCCTTGAATATACACATTTATGGCTAGGTTGAGGCTAAATATTTAATTAAACACTCGCAGTAGGTAAACAACAGGTGCCACAATGATCCTGGCAGTGTACATTCAGTGTTTATCAGTATCCATCCTAATGGGCAGTTTTATGTTCCATGTCGGCCTAGTTGGGCAATGTAACGTTATAGCTGAGCTCCAAATATAGACAGCAGCACACTGCACACACAAATTAATTAATTTACAAAACAAACTGCGTAGCTCTCTACCTGAACACGGTTTGACGCTGCCCTTGAGTTCGTATCTGCAAAAAGCTCAATCTTAGGGTTGGGGTAGCAGACGACCGTCGCTCTCCGTCACTGACGTTTTTATCAGTGGATGTTGAGAAAGATCTAAACAGTCGATACAAGCTTCTTTGACGTTGACGCTTTCACCATAGACGGTAGGCGTTCACGTTCCTGTAGTAGAACCACCCATTTTGTCACGGCCGACCAATCGGATAATGCGAAATGTTGTTCGTGTAAGTTCGCAGACAAACAAAATATTTTAGACTCGCCCTTCCACCAGCAACTCTACGCTCCTCTCCTCCTGTTTCTGTGTACTGTATTTTCTATTTACATAGTTGTAGCCCTTCCTTTTCAAATAGAGTACTAGCGTAGGAGTGTATTTGATAATGTCCACATAACTGAATTAAATAGATACTCTTTATCCCCCGTATTCACTGACTGGGGGTGTTATTGTCTATTTAGGAAGCTACAGAGGAAAACACACTACATATTGCCGTCATAATTATGGTCATACAGACGGTTGCAGTGCGAGTGAAAAATAGATGTTGCGAATAAATGACAGAAGACAGTCAAACCCATGTCTGTAAAGGTATTTTTTTCCCCTAGACAAAACTAAATATATTTCCCAGCCATTTATGGTACTTTATTGCCCTGCTAGGGAGTTTCTATCCAGTCTGCAATGCTGAGTCACCAGCCAGATCTTATTGCTTACAACAAGAACCTCCAGATTTAGATTTATGTTATACCCGGAAACATTGAGAATTAGTGCAGACGTTCCAAGGAGTGCACCGCCCTGCAGAGAAGTACTGCACAAATATATATATATATATATATATATATATATATATATATATATATATATATATATATATATATATATTTTATTAAGTCTCCCTCTGCTGGGAAAATATAATATAACTCTACTAGCATTTCAATCGAATGTACAGTCTCAAGGTATTCAGAACAAAAATATAAACGCAACATGCAACAATTTCAAAGACTTTACTGAGTTACAGTTCATATAAGGAAATCAGTCAATTGAAATAAATTCATAAAAGCCCTAATCTATGGATTTCAAATGACTGGGAATACAGATATGCATCTATTGGTCACAGACACCTTAAATAAAAGGTAGGGGCCTGGATCAGAAAACCAGTTAGTATCTGGTGTGACTGCCATTTGCCTCATCAAATCAAATTTGATTTGCCACATGCGCCGAATACAACAGGTGTAGACATTACAGTGAAATGCTTACTTACAAGCCCTTAACCAACAATGCAGTTAAGAAAGAAAAAAAAAGTGAAGTAGAAAATAGATCAGTAAAAAATAGATCAATAATACAAATTTAAAAAAGCAAATAATTAATGAACAGAAGTAAAATAAGATAATAGTAGGGAGGCTATATACAGGGGGTACCGGTACAGAGTCAATGTGCGGGGGCACTGGTTAGTCAAGGCAATTTGCAGCGCGACAACTCCTTCGTATAGAGTTGATCAGGCTGTTGATTGTGGCCTGTGGAATGTTGTCCCACTCCTCTTCAATGGCTGTGCGAAGTTGCGGGAACTGGAACGTGCTGTCGTACACGTTGATCCAGAGCATCCCAAACATGCTCAATGGGTGACATGTCTAGTAAGTATGCAGGCCATGTAAGAACTGGGCCATTTTCAGCTTCCAGGAATTGTGTACAGATCCTTGCGACATGGGGCTGTGCATTATCATGCTGAAACATGAGGTGATGGCGGTGGATGAATGGCAAGACAATGGGCCTCAAGATCTCGTCACGGTATCTTTGTGCATTCAAATTGCCATCGATAAAATGCAATTGTGTTAGTTGTCCGTAGCTTATGCCTGCCCATACCATAAACCCACTGCCACCATGGAGCACTCTGTTCACAACGTTGATATCAGCAAACCACTCGCCCACACGATGCCATACACGGTCTGTGGTTGTGAGGCCGGTTGGACATAGTGCCAAATTCTCTAAAATGACGTTGAGGCGGCTAAAGGTAGAGAAATTAACATTCAGTTCTCTGGCAACAGCTCTGGTGGACATTCCTGCAGTCAGCATGCCAATTACACACTCCCTCAAAACATCTGTGGCATTGTGTTATGACAAAACTGCACATTTTAGAGTGGCCTTTTATTGTCCCCAGCACAAGGTGCACCTGTGTAATGATCATGCTGTTTAACCAGCTTTTTGATATGCCACACCTGTCAGGTGGATGGATTATCTTGGCAAAGTTGAAATGCTCACCAACAGGGATGTAAACAAATATGTGGCCAAAATGAGAGAAATAAGCTTTTTGTGTGTCTGGAAAATTTCTGGGATCTTATTTCAGCTCATTAAACATGGGACCAACACTTTACATGTTGCATTTATATTTTTCTTCAGTGTAGTATTAGTTTATAATATCATCTGAGGAACCTGTGTAGATAAACGTTTTTATTAAAAATTAAAGTTCTCTAAACCTATTGATTTAAAAAGTGTTAGTTATAGTATATTCCCAGTACAATGTATTTTTTAAATGCAAAAATCTACACATACTGTAAGCAGACACACAGCACTTTGTTTAACTAAAGCATCTCTATCTGTCATATTTTCCTCTAAGAACTGTGATAGACGTATAAGAAAGACTCACCATACTCTCCAACATGCCACTCAAAGCTGATTTCACTTGACTTCATTTAAATCCTAAGTACAAAATCCCAAGTACAAGACCAATGGAATAATTTATCCCACCACCACAACAGACTAAAATACAACAGACAACTGTAAACAGACAGAAGTACTTGGGGAAACCTGAACAAGAAATGGTAACATACTACAAAATCTACAACAAAACATTGTATACTATACAACTATACATATATATATTAAAAAAATAAGAAAACAGATACACACTTGATGAAATGTACAATAATAAAAAAAGCATTCCTTACAATTGATGTGATGGTGCTATATGTTTTACATTGTCTTATAGGTAAATTATGTGGCCAAAAAAAAGTATTCTAAAATTGAAGAATTCACATGGATTTCAACAGGTAAAATATGTGCCTTAAGATTCCGGTATTCTAACCCACCCACCCTCCCTGCATATACACCTTGCCCTTCAATCCCATTCTATATAAAGTACAGCACAGTATTACATAAGTACTGTTTAAGCTTCAAATCTGTACATGTATAAAGGCAGCTGAGTCACCTTATTACAATACATCCTGAAGCGAGTCCAAAAACATGTTTGCGTATGCACAGCAGTGTTCTAGAATATTGGACCGTTAGCTTTCATACTTTTCGAATTCTCAGCGTGGCTCAAGCAATTTCTCGAATTGTCAACACATTCCAATTAATAGAGGACGTGTACGCGGAGCCGTGTTGGTTGGGAATTTTGGGCAGTGGTCTCAGAGACCCGTAGCTATGTCACAATGGGATGCTGGACTATCGCGTCTCTGGACTCTGAATTACGCTTAATAATCATTTTGGTTTAGAACCAATTCTCTTCCAAAGGCAGACAGACAGAGACCGTTTGTGGAGACAGACAGACAGTTAGTTTGTGGAGACAGACAGACAGTTAGTTAGTTTGTGGAGACAGACAGACAGTGGAGACAGACAGACAGTGGAGACAGACAGACAGTGGAGACAGGCAGACAGTTTGTGGAGACAAACCATCAGTTTACACCATTGGTGCCCAGGAAGTCGACCGGTCGACCGCAAACTTCTTTCTAGTAGACCACATAAAAGTTTTCAAAATGTACGCACTAAAAATAGATTTAGGCAATTCACAGCGTTACCATCGAGTCTGCTTAAAAATAATGAGGTCCACAGTTCTGAAGCACCGTATGCTTTGCTTACAGGTTAGCTCCTTTGTCGAATATTACTGCACAGCCCAAATATTAAAGAAACTGATTGACATAAAATTGGACCAACCCGCGGCACTGTAGCTGCTACATTTGTTTTCCAAACTGTCGCTACCATAGCAACCGTCTGCAGTTAATATGTTTACATTTCCACACTTGCGAGACCTGTAACAGACCTGTAACAGAATATTATTTGTTATTCCAGTGGTAGCTGTTTTTTTTACTATGTTTTGTTCTATGAAGTTGTGGTTATGTTTTTAATATGAGTGCTGGACCAAGCAGCAAGAAACCGAAAATCGACCACTTTCACAGTGAGTGGGAGGAAGATAATTTTTTCCCCACAACAAATTCCAAAGGTGTGTGTCTGATCTGACGTTCAAACGTAGCTCTTGCTAAGAAAGGAAATGTCGAGATGCATTTCAAAACTGTGAAATATGAGCTAAAAGTGAACTATGTGAGAGAAAAGTGAAAGAGTTGAAGTCTCAACTAGCTGCCCAACTATCAATCTTTACAAGGCCCAGCTCAAAATTAAAGGCAGCCACAATTGCATCATTCCGGGTGAGTCACAAGAAACCATTCCAGGATGGAGAAATGGTAAAAGAGGCCTTTTTAGAGGTGATCACCTGCGTGAGGCTAGCAATCAGTAGCTACAACCCAGACTATGCAAAGCTTGCTGACAGCATGCAGTGCAAATCATCCAATCAATAAGGTGAAATGTTATTGGCGGGGGGAGGGAGGGGGGGTAGATCGTGTTAGGAAGAGGGTGGAAAAAGTAGATCCTATGTAACTAAAGTCTGGGCATCCCTGGTTTACACTGAGGAAAAGGCAGACAGACAGGCATGTTTCAGACAGACAGACAGACAGGCAGGTTTCAGACAGACAGACAGGTTTCAGACAGACAGGCAGGTTTCAGACAGGCAGGTTTCAGACAGACAGACAGGTTTCAGACAGAGAGACAGGCAGGTTTCAGACAGAGAGACAGGCAGGTTTCAGATCACCACACTGGTACCACTACGAGAGCTCTTTTCCTGGAAGAGAAAGAAAGAGGGAGAGAGAGAGAGGATGGGGGGGAGAGGATGGGGGAGAGAGAGGGGAGGGGGGGAGTGAGAGTGGGGGGCGAGGGGAGAGAGAGAGGGGGCGAGAGAGAGGGGGAGAGGGGGACGGGAGAGGGGGATGGGGGGAGAGAGGGACGGATGCGGGAGAGAGGAGAGAGAGGGAATGGATGGGGAGAGACGGGAGCGAGAGAGAGAGAGGGGATGGATGGGGAGAGAGAGCGAGAGGAGGTATGGAGGATGGGGGAAGAGAGAGAGGGCGGAGGATGGGAGAGAGAGAGGGATAGATGGGGAGGGAGAAGAGGAAGAGAGGGGTGGGATGGGGAGAGAGAGAGAGAGGGAGGGGGAGAGAGAGAGGGATGGGGGATGAGAGAGAGAGGATGGGGGAGAGAGGAGGAGGATGGGGAGAGAGAGACGGGATGGGGGGAGAGAGGGATGGGAGAGAGGGATGGGAGAGAGGGATGGGGAGAGAGGGAGATGGGATGGGAGGGAGGGGAGAGAGGGATGGGGAGGAGGTGAGAGAGGGATGGGGAGAGAGGGAGGGAGATGGGGAGAGAGACGAGGAATGGGAGAGAGAGAGGAATGGCGGAGAGAGGGAGAGGAAGGGATGAGAGAGAGAGAGAGAAGGAGGGGAGAGAGAGGGATGGGAGGGGGGGAGGAGAGAGAGGGATGGGAGGGGAGGGGAGAGGAGGAGAGGGGAGGGAGGGAGGGGGGAGAGAGGGAGGGGGGAGGGGGGGGGAGAGAGAAGGGAGGGGACGGGGGGGAGAGGGATGGGATTGGGGGGAGGGAGAGGGATGGGATGGGGGGGAGGATGGGATGGGAGGGAGAGGGGGGGGGAGGGGGAGAGGGGGGGAGAGAGAGGGGGAGTGGAGGGAGAGAGAGGGAGGGGGGGGTAGGAGGGGGAGAGAGAGGGGGGGGGGGGAGAGGGAGGGTGGGAGTGGGGGAGGAGGAGAGGGATGGGGAGAGGAGGGGAGGGAGAGGGATGGAGAGAAGAGAGGGGATGGAGAAGAGAGGAGGAGGGAGGGAGAGAGAGAGAGGGAGAGAGAGGGAGGAGACGGGAGGGGGAGGAGAGAGAGAGAGAGAGGGAGGGATGGGAGGATGGGGGATAGAGAGAGAGAGGGGGAGGGAGAGAGAGAAGGGGATGGAGAGAGAGAGGGGAGAGAGAGGAGGAGATAGGAGGAAGAGGGAGGAGGGAGGAGAGGATGGAGGAGAGGAGAGAGAGGGATGGGGAGAGAAGGGAAGGGAGAGACGGGATGGGGAGAGAGAGAGGGAGAGAAGAGAGGGGGAGAGAGAGGGAGGGGAGGGAGGGGGGAGGGAGGGGAGGGATGGGAGGGAGAGAGGGATGGGAGGGGAGGGAGGGAGAGAGAGGGATGGGGGGGAGGGATGGGAGAGGAGAGAGAGGGATGGGGGGATGGGAGGGAGGGAGAGAGAGGGATGGGGAGGGAGGGAGAGAGAGGGATGGGGAGGGAGGAAGAGAGGATGGGGAGGGAGGGAGAGAGAGGGATTGGGGGAGGGAGAGAGGGGATGGGGGGGAGGGGAGAGAGAGGGATGGGGGGAGGGAGAGGAGAGAGAGGGATGGGGGGGAGGGAGAGAGAGTGATGGGGAGGGAGAGAGAGGGATGGGGAGGGAGAGAGAGGGATGGGGAGGGAGAGAGAGGGATGGGGAGGGAGAGAGAGGGATAGGGAGAGAGAGAGAGAGAGATAGAGAGAGGGATGGGGAGAGAGAGAGAGGAGAGGGTGAAGAAATCAGTTCAATAGTGTTTACATTTGTGTGGTCAAATGAGTGCATGTGAATGTCTGTGGATTTGTGTGTGTACCATCCTGTTTCTGCAGTATGTCTGTTACAGGACACTACGATCCTGATCTGTATGTGTGAGTATACAATGTTATATGGGTGTGAGTCGTACATCAGCACTCGTGTTTGTTTCTTACTGAGTAGCGGTCGTAGTTCCTCCTGTTGCTGTTTTGGATCTCGATGGAGGAGTAGCTGGGGGGTTTCTCTGGCCACAGCTTCCCCTTGCCCCCCCTTCCTCCCCCCCTCCTGCTGTCCTCCTCATCCGAGCTCCAGGACCCTTGACGACGGGAAGGAGGTGAGTGGCTCCTGTCTCGCCTGGCGGGGGCTGACCGACGCAGTTCCTCCATCATGTCGTCACGACTACGGGACCGTGGCGCTGACCCAGATCCTCCGGTCCTCCTCCCAGCTGAGCCTTGCCCCTCCCTCCTCGGCCCTCCCCTTCGGTCGCCCCAGTCTGACTCATCGCTGTAGCTACGCAGGATGCCCTGCCGCGGAGGGGAGGGGTCGTGTTTGTCACGCCGGTTGTCACTGTAACGCCCACCGCCGCCACCCCCAGTGCGGTTGGAGCTGCCGCTGGATTGGCTGGATATTCTGGGTGCGCCACTGGTCCCTCCTCCTCCCCCTCCATTCCCCCTGCGAGAGGAGAAACTGGGGACCCGCTGGACAATGGGGGGCAAGGTGATCACCCTCCTCTCCACCCCCCTCACCCCCATCTCATCCAGGGCAGACAGCATGCTGGGGGGGCCGGCCGTGAAGGGGACTCCCTGGGAGACTCCCTGGGGATGGTACTGGTGGGGCAGGTGCTGATGATGAGGGGGAGGGGGCATCTGGCTGTGCACCCCCCTCACCTGGCTCTCCAGGAAGTCCAGCATCTGGTTGGTGCCGTGCACGCTCCCGCCGTGCATGCTGCCGTTACCGTGGTGGATACCGTATTGGTGTTGGGGCATGTGGTGTTGGGGGATAGGCTGCTGCTGGAGGGGCAGGGGCGAGGGGCCCATCGGGGCCATGGCAAAGTTGGGCTTGGTAGGGTACCCATCGGAGAACGAGCCTGGAGACATAGCGAATCACACAGCATTAGCATTGTTATAAGACTGACCTGAGACCAGTAGATCATTTCACAGCATGCATGGTTCAAGGTTCTCCCCAGGATTCTTTAACAAGTGGTGCTTCTGAGTACGGCCGGGGGGAGGCCTGGAGGGGGGGGTGCCCAGAGATTTTTGTGTTTCTATTTTTACATAGTGGCGCAGCCAGTCCACAAGGTGGCGCAGCGCCTCTCTTACATTCTTTGGGGAGAACCTTGAGGATAAAACATTATAACATTGACCGGAGTTCAGGAGATAGTTTCACAGCATGCAGGGTACAAAACTAACAACATTATAAGACTGACCTGAGTACATCACTGGGTTGCCTTGGGAGGTGTGGTTGCTGATGGGGGCGTAGATGGGCTGGCCGTGCATCCAGGGGGCCATTGACTTCTGGGCCTCTCGCATCATCCTGTGCTGCATCACCGCTGGGGAGAGAGGAGAGGTGTGAATAAGTGTGTGTATCACTGTGTGGGTGTGCGCTCACTCGTGTGAGTGTGGTACCTTTCTCAGGGCAGCAGCAGGTCTGTGGGCAGCAGGGACAGCGGACGTAGCAGCAGCATTTCTGGGGGCAGCACTGACAACAGCAGATACAGAACAGCATCATGAGCAGCAGAGCCCCGATGATGATGAACAGCACCGTCAGCCAATCTGGAACAGAGGTCAAGAGGTCATGTAGGACACATACAGTGCCTTCAGAAAGTATTCATACCCATTGACGTATTTCACATTTTGTTGTGTTACAGCCTGAATTCAAAATGGATTAAAAAAATAAAACAAAATCTCTCACCCATCTACACACAATACCCCATAATAACAAAGTGAAAACATGTTTTTAGAAATGTTAGCAAATTTATTGAAAATGAAATACAGAAATGTCATTTACATAAGTATTCACACCCGTGTGAATACATGTTAGAATCACCTTTGGCAGCGATTACAGCTGTGAGTCTTTCTGGGTAAATCTCTAAGAGCTTTGCACACCTGGATTGTACAATATTTGCAGATTATTCTTTTTTAAATTCTTCAAGCTCTGTCAAGTTGGTTGTTGATCATTGCTAGACAGCCATCGTCAAGTCTTGGCATAGATTTTCAAGCCGATTTAAGTCAAGACTGTAACTAGGCCACTCAGGAACATTCAATGTCGTCTTGGTAAGCAACTACAGTGTATATTTGGCTTTGTGCTTTAGGTTATTGTCCTGCTGAAAGGTGAATTTCTCCCAGTGTCTGTTGGAAAGCCGACTGAACCATGTTTTCCTCTAGGATTTTGCCTGTGCTTAGCTCTATTCCGTTTTGTTTTACTCTAAAAAACTCCCTAGTCCGATGACAAGCATACTCATAACATGATGCAGCCGCCACCATGCTTGAAAATATGAAGAGTGGTACTCAGTAATGTGCTGTTTGCCCCAAACATAAGGCTTTGTATTCAGGATATAAAGTTCATTTCTTTGCCAAATTCTTAGCAGTTTTCCTTTATTGCCTTATTGCAAACAGGATGCAAGTTTTGGAATATTTGTATTCTGTACAGGCTTCCTTCTTTTCACTCTGTCATTTAGGTTGTTGATCAATCATCAGTTCTCTCCTATCACAGCCATTAAACTCTATAACTATTTTAAAGTCACCATTGGCCTCATGGTGAAATCCCTGAGCGGTTTCCTTCCTCTCCGGCAACTGAGTTAGGAAGGTCACCTGTATCTTTGTATTGACTGGGTATATTGATACACCATCAAAAATGTAATTAATAACTTCACCATGCTCAACGGGATATTCAATGTCTGTTTGTTTTATTTTTACCCATCTACCAATAGGTGCCCTTCTTTGCGAGCCATTGGAAAACCTCCCTGGTCTTTGAGGTCGAATCGGTGTTGGAAATTCACTGCTCGACTGAGGGACCTTACAGATAATTGTATGTGTGGGGTATAGAGATGAGGTAGTCATTCAAAAATCATGTTAAACACTATTATTGCACAGAGTGAGTCCATGCAACTTATGTGACTTGTTAAGCAAATCTTTACTCCTGAACTTATTTAGGCTTGCCATAACAAAGGGGTTGAATACTTATTGACTTTCAGCTTTTCATTTTTTATTACAATTAACAAAAATATAAAGGTGCTGCTGAGGAGTATTTCTGTCTGTAATAAATCCCTTTTGTGGGGAAAAGCTCATTCTGATTGGCTGGGCCTGGCTCCCCAATGGGTGGGCCTATGCCCTCCCAGGCCCACCCATGGCTGCACCACTGCCCAGTCATATGAAATCCATAGATTAGGGCCTAATTAATTTATTTCAATTGACTGATTTCCTTATATGAACTCTAACTCCGTAAAATCTTTGAAATTGTTGCGTTTATATTTTTGTTCAGTATAATTTGTAAAAATGTCTAAAAACATAATTCCACTTTGGCCTACACATAATACCCCATAATGTCAATGACACAAAAATCTCAATTTAATCCATTTTAAATTCAGGCTGTAACACAACAAAATGTGGAAAAAGTCAACGGGTGTGAATACTTTCTGAAGGCACTGTACTTAGCAACAGAGGAGAGAGCAGTGGGCTGAATCCCAAACCGACCCCTTCCCCTCGCCACTCTCACTTCGATTTGTGTGTCGACGCGTGCCTCCGCTGCATGTCGTGCTGGAGATACTATCATTTTGTTTATACTGTACCTATGCCATCCTTTCAGATCTACAGAAGTGCATAGTGGGTAGTGGAGTTTTTCTACTGTGTTACTCACATTGTTTTTAAAGATCCACACACAGCGCCACGTTTCTACACTAATATATGGTCACTCATATTCTTATGGAGACAAAATAGGCCATTACATGGTGTACTGTTTGTTGAATGCATGTTTTGCATAGAGAACCCCTGGAACATAGTTATGGAAGAATGAAACATGACCCACTATTGTGTAACACATTAGCTGCACAGTTGGTCCTCAAGCCTAAGAGCACTTTTTAATGATGCGCCACAGGCACTCCACGGTTTTCCCAGGAAAGCAATGCTTTGGTGGAACATGCAAGTACATACATTTGGTTGCCCTACATGTACTATGTATGCCCTATGTATAAGTGAACATTTTGAGAGTTTTAACACATCCTGAAAAAGCAAAAAACATTTGCAGTCACTTACGGTAAACAATGAGTTTGACCTCGCGGTCTGAGTCTCCTGTAGTGTCTCCCTGTGCGTCGATGGAGCAGAAGTACACACCATTATCCCACCACATCACCTCATTCATAACCAGGTCGGCCTCTGTGGAGGGCAGGTGCGCGCGCACACACACACACACACACACACACACACACACACACAAGCACTTACTGTACATGTGCATGATAACACTTAATGCAACATTTACAAATCTGAGAATTGGGGTCTCTCTCACTATGTTGGGGTAACACTCACTGTTTTGGATGGATATCTTGCGCTCCCGATACTCAGAGCCCAGGGTGGCCTCATTGGTGCCCTTCTTCTGGATGACGGTGCGAACGGTGCGCTGGCGGTCTGGACAGTCATTGGCTGGGTCCTGGCCCAGCTGCAGAGCCGCCTGATAGGCTACAGCAGGAGGAGAATGGAAGCATTATGATGACATCACTATACACCAACAGCGCCATTATCATATTGGTGTCCCAATCTCAACAGCACCACTATGACATCATACAATCTTCAAAGCCTCATTATGGCATCACTATACAATTCTGACATCACAATCTCTGCTGCTCCATTATTACATCCCAATCGTCATATTCCCATTATGACAGCACAATCTCCAAAGCATGACATCACAATCGCCACAGCACCTTATGACATCACAAACTACACAGTTCCATTATTACATTACAATTTTCACTGCTCTATTACAATATGACATCACAATCTCCACAGCCCTGTTGCTACCTCACAAGCTCTGCAGTTCGATTTATGACATCACAATCGCCACAGCCCCATTATAAGAAGACTATGATAACGTATAGACAGAGGGAGGGCAACACTAGTGTCCATGCAGCCCTCACTCGTTTACCTGTCCTTTAACATCTCACCTGTGGAGTAGAATTCCAGCACGGGGTCCTTGCAGAAGGACTTGTAGCGCCAGGTGACCAGGACGTCCTGTGCGTTGGCGGAGGTGGAGTAGTCACAGCGTATGATGACCGAGGCAAAGAGAGCCGTACTCCTCTCTGTCTGAGGAACAATCACCTGGATGGAAAACACCTCTGAAAGACAGAGAGTGGTGAGATAGAATGAGAGGATAGTAAAAAATAAAAAGGATGTGTGAGCATTCAAATGTTTAATAAAAACTGTTTTTCAAACTTCTTAATTTGTATACATAAGTGCAAATTAGTACTCTGATACAATAATTTATAGCAAGGTTTAATGTAAGAAGCTAGAAAGTAAATTAATTGTCCAGAACACCCATCTGCTTGTAAACACCTTACGGTCACGTGACCATGACTTGTTGGCCTTGTCATGTTTACACCTGTCGATTATTAACTTATTCTAACATGCTTATTTTGGAAAGAATCAAGACAACGAACAATTCAGTTGTGTTTTGTAAGTAATAAAGCTCAATACATGTTAGAGGCGTATCTAAAAGCGCTTTTAGATTAAAAACCTTACCTGTTGGCAGGAAACCAAGCAGAAGCGCAAGCAAGATAAAATGTCCCATTTTGTTCTTCACCATTCCAACGCGGAAGCTTCTAAAAGACGACCAACCTTTAGTCAATCGATACAGAAATAAACAATTAATTTGATAAAACCATGCGACATTTGTCGAAGCAACCCTTCATCAGTGCACTTTCTTGATTTTATGTAAATAGGAGTCTTCAATTTCCTCGTTTTTGTGGTGAAACTACTCCCCTACAAGTGTCGAGGCTACTTTCCCAGGCAGAGTCCCTCCGCGCGTTTCCAATCCCATCCCCCAGCTTCAGGTGACATCACTGACCCCACATCGAGCCGTAACAGGTGCAATACAAACACAAATATATGTATATGGAAGGTTCGTGCACGTGGAAACGAGTTTTTAATACATATAGGCCTAAATGTATCAAATAGTTCGGGGAAATAGAATTAGGACTTTGAAATTGATTATATTAACAAGATAAACCCTCTGGAAATGCCTTCATACATAGAGTACCTTGAGAAAATCAGATATCTTTAGCTATTGGCCTATCATGGTAAAAGTAGTGATCTTTCTAATATCAACTCAAGATCAACACCAGACTGTACCATATCACTTTTTTTTTCTTTGTACACACATCATTTACATTTTAGTCATTTACATCAGACTGTTAAACAGCCATCACTAGCACATTAATAATAATAATAATAATAATAATATGCCATTTAGCAGACGCTTTTATCCAAAGCGACTTACAGTCATGCGTGCATACATTTTTGTTACATTAGAGGCTGCTGCCTATAGACATAGACTAGAAATCACTGGCCACTTTAAGAAATGGAACACTAGCCCCTTTAATAATGTTTACATATCTTGCATTACTCATCTCATATGTATATACTGCATTCTATACTATTCTACTGTATCTTAGTCCATGCCGCTCTGACATCGCTCGTCCATATATGTATATATTCTTAATTCATTCCTTACTTAGATGTGTTTATTGGGTATATTTTGTGAAATTGTTAGATATTACTTGTTAGATATTACTGCACTGTCAGAGCTAGAAGCACAAGCATTTCACAACACCCGCAATAACATCTGCTAAGCACATGTATGTGACCAATACGATTTGATTTGATTTGATTATATCCAATGCAAAAATATAAACACAACATGCAACAATTTCGAAGATTTTACTGATTTACAGATCATATCAGGAAATCAGTCAATTGAAATAAATAAATTAGGCCCTAATCTATGGATTTCACATGACTGGGCAGGGGTGGGCCTTGGAGGGCATAGGCCCACCCACTTGGGAGCCAGGCCCAGCCAATCAGAATGAGTTTTTCCCCACAAAAGGGCTTTATTACAGACAGAAACACTCCTCACCAATTGGGATATATCTACAGGCTGGAAGAAAAGGCCTAGGCCACAGTACTGTGAAGACTGGAGGGGAGTTACATTTTAGTAATTTAGCAGACTTACAGGAGCAATTAGGGTCAAGTGCCTTGCTCAAGGGCACATTTTTCACCTAGTCGGCTCGGGGATTAGAACCAGCTGCCTTTCGGTTACTGGCACAACACTCTTAACCACTAAGCTACCTGCCACACCTGTTCACAGCAATGTCGTAGTCCATCCTTCTCTGAAAGGAGGGTTGATTGTTGCTGGGGGGTTCAGGGACTGTTGGTGTGGTTCTATTCTAAGGCTCTATTCATACTGTTGGTGTGGTTCTATTTTAAGGCTCTATTCATACTGTTGGTGTGGTTCTATTCATACTGTTGGTGTGGTTCTATTCTAAGGCTCTATTCATACTGTTGGTGTGGTTCTATTCTAATGCTCTATTCATACTGTTGGTGTGGTTCTATTCTAAGGCTCTATTCATAATGTTGGTGTGGTTCTATTCTAAGGCTCTATTCATACTGTTGGTGTGGTTCTATTCTAAGGCTCTATTCATACTGTTGGTGTGGTTCTATTCTAAGGCTCTATTCATACTGTTGGTGTGGTTCTATTCTAAGGCTCTATTTTTTTTTTTTTTTTTTTTTTTAGTCATTTAGCAGACGCTCTTATCCAGAGCGACTTACAGGAGCAATTAGGGTTAAGTGCCTTGCTCAAGGGCACATCGACAGATTTTTCACCTAGTCGGCTCTGGGATTAGAACCAGCGACCTTTCGGTTACTGGCACAACGCTCTTACCCACTAAGCTACCTGCCGCCCTCTATTCATACTTGTGGTAGACAGTCGCTTTATAAAGTTTGGCCAAGTCCCAGCATTGAAGGGTGGTGACGTTAAACAAGCCTAGGGGTGCTTTTGTGTTAATAGTCTTTTCAACTCTCTCTCCAACATGCAATCAAGCTTTATTCACTCAACACAAAAACAGGCCAGCTTGAGTTCCACGCTCAACAGCTCTTCTGGACCCAATGTAAAGAGCTTTGAGACCTTGTGAAATGTGGTTTATAAATGAAATGCACTCCATTCGTGCAGTGAAGAGGGATTCTGCACCTGTCAAGGCCAGATGCTGAAGCGAAAGCTTCCTTCCTGATATTGTGATGTCATCCAGCTTAGAAGAGTTGTGTATAGCTGTGGTGTTTGTGTGTGTAAATAAAGTTGTGAGCAAGCACTGTGTGTGTATTAATCGGTTAACATAGATAGCGATAAGAAACACACACTCCATATCCAATGTAAACACACATAAAAGGGCATAATAATCACACACAGTGGCACAATCTAAGATAGGCAACGGACGTTTATATCAAAATCATCAATGTCAAACAAGTGAAATGCAAACATCTGCTATGGCTGAATGGCACAGTTTCAAACCAGTTACCTGTGGCCAATAAGGGCCTGTTCAATTAATACTGTGGGCTAATAAAGAATGCCATTACAATGCAATTGCAAATCTGTAATACAAATTCAAGCTCAGTAGGTACAGTATATGACACACACACACACACAATGAAGGCAGGTGAACCTGAGTTGCCTTTTTTATGGCACAATTGACACCTATTATATGTTTCTTATAGTCTGATGAAATGTATGACACGTGGGGGAGTATTGGAGGTACAATTATAATGGCAAGTTGGCAAATATAGATGTTTAGAATTTATCAAAACAATCCTGCACTTAACACACATGAATTGATCATATGAAGTTTCTTTGATTACTTTCCTTTTTTTAACCCCTTATCCTAGCTCTCCCTCCACACCTAATCAATACCTATCGATCAATACCTACCAATACCCCTAATCATATCATTGCTGTCAGCGTAACTTCACGGGAACTAACTGTCACCATGCTTTATAGGTGAGAGAGGGGGACTGCTCTGTGGAATGCTTCGTTTGAGTTTCACAGATAAATCTGAATATGGACACGCAGTACAGTGCACATCCACACAAATGCTTCACACACACATTGGACCCATACATACCCATTCAAATGGTGTGTTTGTAATGCATGCACGCTCAACACACATACAAACAAAATGGTGTCCAAATGTTCCTTCATCGATGCATAAACAATGCACGTTCCATTGTCTTTTCGTGATCCGTGCAAGGTGCCTTCCTTCTGTGGATTGAAGCCTTCTATTGGATAAGCCTCTTGAGGTTGTTGATGATGAGGATGATCAGTTAGTCTCTCCCAGGCTGATGCGTGATGTTTTAAGTGAGTGTGATTCTCAATACTGGCAGTGCTGTGCAGGCACAGGCTCGAGTTCTCTCTGGTGTGTCACACTATGAGAGAGTCTCTGCTCAGAGCAGGGGTCTGTTAAAGAAAAACACCAAGAGCCATGTTAGAGACCCTGCAATCATGCTGCTCATGCTCGATTAGTCTGGTGTGGTCAGTGAGGTAACGTGGGAATCCACAGCAATCATGCAGCTCATGCTCTGTTAGTAATGTCTGTGAGTGAGTTCCATGAGAATATCATACAATCACATACAGAACATGCATTCTTTTTGGCATTAAGATTTGACCTTTTACCTCTGAAATAAAGCATTAAACTTGAGGATGTTTTCTTGACTACATCATTTACAAAATATTGATCTAAATTACAACATCAAAATAGTGTTTTCTGCCTCTCTTTTCACATAACAACCAATCAATATGAAATACTGTTAGAAAAGCTTTTGATTTATACGGTGCTTTCGGAAAGTATTCAGACCCATTCACTTTTTCCACATTTTGTTACGGTACAGCCTGATTCTAAAATGGATTATATAAATGTTTTTCCTCATCATTCTACACACAGTACCCCATAATGACAAAGCAAAAACAGGTTTTTAGAAATGTTTGCAAATGTATTAAAAATAAAATAACTGAAATACCTTATTTACATAAGTATTCAGACCCTTTGCTATAAGACTAGAAATTGAGCTCAGTTGCATCCTGTTTCCATTGATCATCCTTGAGATGTTTCTACAACTTGATTGGAGTCCACCTGTGATACATGCAATTGATTGGGCATGATTTGGAAAGGCACACACCTGTCTATATAAGGTCCCACAGTTGACAGTGCATGTCAGAGCAAAAACCAAGCCATGAGGTCCAAGGAATTGTCCGCAGAGCTCCGAGACAGGATTGTGACGAGGCACAGATCTGGGGAAGGGTACCAAAACATTTCTGCAGCATTGAAAGTTCCCACGAACACAGTGGCCTCCATCATTATTAAATGGAAGAAGTTTGGAACCACCAAGACTCTTCCTAGACTGAGCAATCGAGGGAGAAGGGCCTTGGTCAGGGAGGTGACCAAGAACCTGATAGTCACTCTGACAGAGCTCCAGAGTTCCTCTGTGGATATGGGAGAACCTTCCAGAAGGACAAGCATTTCTGCAGCACTCCACCAATCAGGCCTTTATGGTAGAGTGGCCAGACGGAAGCCATTCCTCCGTAAAAGGCACATGACAGCCAGCTTGGAGTTTGCCGAAAGGCACCTAAAGAAACATAAGAAACAAGATTCTCTGGTCTGATGAAACCAAGATTGAACTCTTTGGCCTGAATGCCAAGCATCACGTCTGGAGGAAAGCTGGCACCATCCCTACGGTGAAGCATGGTGGCAGCATCATGCTGTGGGGATGTTTTTCAGCGGCAGGGACTGGGAGACTAGTCAGGATCGATGGAAAGATGAACGGAGCAAAGTACAGTGAGATCCTTGATGAAAACTTGCTCCAGAGATCTCAGAACCTCAGACTGGGGTGAAGATTCACCTTCCAACAGGACAACGACTCTAAGCACACAGCCAAGACAATGCAGGACTAGCTTCGGGACAAGTCTCTGAATGTCCTTGAGTGGCCCAGCCAGAGCCCGGACTTGAACCCGATCTAGCATCTCTGGAGAGACCTGAAAATAGCTGTGCAACGACGCTCCCCATCCAACCTGACAGAGCTTGAGAGGATCTGCAGAGAAGAATGGGAGAAACTCCCCAAATACAGGTGTGCCAAGCTTGCAGTGTCATACTCAAGAAGACTCAAGGCTGTAATCGCTGCCAAAGGTGCTTCAACAAAGTACTGAGTAAAGGGTCTGAATACTTATGTAAAAAAAAAAAAAACGGTTTTTGCTTTGACATTATGGGGTATTGTTTTGTAGATTGATGAGGGGAAAAATTATTTAATCCATTGTAGAATAAGGCTGTAACGTAACAAAATGTGGAAAAAGTCAAGGGGTCTGAATACTTTCAGAATGCACTGTATATACTCAACTAAAAAATATAAAACGCAACATGTAATAATTTCAACGATTTTACTGAATTACAGTTTATATAAGGAAATCAGTCAATTGAAATAAATTAATTAGGCCCTAATCTATGGATTTCACGATTGGGCAGGGGCACAGCCACGGTTGGACCTGGGAGGGCATAGGCCCACCCACTGGGGAGCCAGGCCCAGCAAATCAGAATGAGTTTTTCCCCACAAAAGGGATTTATTACAGACAGAAATACTTCTCAGTTTCATCAGCTTTCCGGGTGGCTGATCTCAGACAATCCCGCAGGTGAAGAAACCGGATGTGGAGATCCTGGGCTGGCGTGGTTACATGTGGTCTGCGGTTGTGAGGCCGGTTGGACGTACTGCCAAATTCTCTAAAACAACGTTGGAGGCGGCTTATGGTAGAGAAATTAACATTAAATTATCTGGCAACAGCTATGGTGGACTTTCCTGCAGTCAGCATGCCAATTGCACGCTCCCTCAAAACTTGAGACATCTGTGGCATTGTGTTATGTGACAAAACTGCACATTTTAGAGTGGCCTTTTATTGTCCCCAGCACAAGGTGCACCTGCGTAATGATCATGCTGTTTAATCAGTTTCTTGATATGCCACACCTGTCAGGTGGATGGATTATCTTGGCAAAGGAGAAATGCTAACTGACAGGGATGTAAACAAATTTGTGCACAACATTTTAGAAAATAAAAGCTTTTTGTGCATATGGAAAATTTCTGGTATCTTTTATTTCAGCTCATGAAACATGGGACCAACACTTTACATGTTGCGTTTATATTTTTGTTCAGTATAGTTAAAAAAAAATAACACCCACAAAATAAAGATGATTTAACCATCTAACCATGTCCAGTTGGTGTAATACTAAGACACTTGTTAGAGACTGTTAGAGATACTGGGCTTTCTACGTCTGAGCTCTTCTAGCTGGGATAACCTGAGAGGGGTGGGGTGTTCTTCAACTTGACCCTCCTAAAGGTAACTCACCATTTTTCGGTTGTTGTCCCTATCCTCTCTGCCCCCCTGTACGGTGTGGGCCAGTCCTTTAGGGGGACGGGTATAGGAGAATGGTTGCATGGCCTGGTCAGTGGTGCGATATCGTTCTGAAGGCAGTTCGACCATGCGGTAACGTTCAACGGTTGGGTTGACCATCCGGTACCTTTCCATCTCCAGCTCCGAGTATGGAGGCAAAGGGTCATCCTCCTCGGGCCTGTTGCTAGGTGACCGGCTGTAGAAACCATCGCTGCCCTTGCCCTTCGAACTGCCCTTGGAGGGAGTGTCACTGTCCTCGTCAACCCGCCCCTTTCCTCTCTCCCCCCTCTCTCCTGCCCTCCCCCTCACCTTCCGCTCCAATAAGTCATTGAGGAAGGCGGCATCGTAACCCCTCCCCTCCTGGGTGTGCTGGTGGGGGCGAGAGGGGAGATCGCTGTCGCCGTCCCACATGTCCCTCCTCTTCTGTGGAGGCGGGCTGCGGCGGGGGTGCCAGTCGTCATCCCTATCTCTGTGGAAACGGCGAGGGGGGCTGTGCTCTCTCCCCCATAGCTCCAGGTCGTAGTCCCTGTCCTGGTCACGGGGGTCGCCCCTCCGGGCACGGGGCCCATAGGACATAGCAAACTCCTCCAGCTCATCCAGTGAGCCGGTACGCCCCCTGCTGCCCAATGTCCTCCTCTCCAGGTGCACAGAGCGAGGGTTCCACCTGGAAAACAGGGAAGACAGGGGGAATCAGAGTACAGATATACAAATGCAGGCAGACAGTGCTAACTAGCATTTTATTCCTACACTAAATACAAGATATACAGCAATGAAATATCCAATACCTATACAACATCCTATTCTCTCTCACACACACACATACACCTGGTGAGATAGTTTGAGTACTGTAGATCCAGTTCAAACTGGTACCTGCTGTCTTGCTCGTCGTCAGTGTGGTTGCCACGGTAATGCCTGGGTCGACGACTGTTGTGCACAGGAGCTGCCATGAGCTCTGATTGGTCATCAAGGTCAGCGATGGGTGGGAGAGATTTCATCTGGACTGTCCGATAGGTCTGCCGGAAATCCGTGTCCCCTCCCTCATGCAGAGAGCTGAGCTCTGATAGGCTACTGGCTGCTGGGACAACACATCACTATGGAGACCGTTACTGCTTTCAAGAAAAGGTTTTCAATGTTATAAATTAACTGTTTTCGCAGCAAGTTTTTTTGCAGCAGCGTTCTATTTACAGTGTTTTGAAATTGCATCTTACCACCATCATTAGGCTACACAGCATGTTTATGCTTCAATACTTCTAATCCAATCACATACACATCATCAAATATCACCCCTAATGCAAACAACATCTGATAGCCATAGACATCAGTGTAAATATAGATTGGTTATTTCCAAAGCAAATGCTTTTGTTGATGGCCCTCATCATACAGATGTAGGATCTTAATTACTAGCTCTCACAGTCTCACATCAGAATGAGACGTTCATCCATCTTTCTCAAACGACACATTTCTAAATTGTTCCAGACGTCAAATTTCGAAGTATTTAAGGTTAAGTTTAGGTATTAACTCCACATTTTTAAGGTTAGTGATAAGTTCAGGCATTAACTCCGAATGGTTAAGGTAAGGGTTAAGGTTTGGGATAGGCTTAAAACAAAATATAGAAAACAACTTTCCATCGTTGGATTTGACCATTCAATGCTTACGCCCATCCACCATCCCCATCCAAAACACCCTAGCAAACCGAAACCTACTTGAAGGTAACAGCGCTCACTGTTGCCCTTAGTGGCCGGTATTCAACATCATCTCCCGATGTCCTCAGACATGGATGGCTGTCGAATACTGACTTGTATCACGGGTGACCTGCCTGAATTTGATCACACAGCAGGAAATGAAAACTTGTAGTTTATTCAAGGTTTAAAAAGGTTTCTAAAGTTTGTAATTTCCACTGATTTGTCCTAACAAAAAATTTATCAACCCCTATGTCTGTGTGTTTACAACAAAGCACTATAGATACCTTCTTACACTGCCACTGGTATGTTAATGAACTTAACATGTGAAATAGAGAACCATGCCATATTATAGTTTCTGATGAAAAAGCAACAGTCCAGTCAATTCACATATTTTTTTTTACATTTTAGTCATTTAGCAGACGCTCTTATCTAGAGCCACTTACAGTTAGTGTATTCATCTTAAGATAACTAGGTGGGACAATCACATATCATCAAAAAATGTAAATGTAAATATCACAGGCATACAGTGCATTCGGAAAGTATTCAGACCCCTTGACTTTATCCACATTTTGTTACGTTACAGCATTATTCTAAAATGTATTAAATAAAACATTTTCCTCATCAATCTACACACAATAACCCATAATGACAAAGCGAAAACAGGTTTTTAGAAATGTTTGCAAATGTATTACAAATAAAAACCTTATTTACATAAGTATTCAGACCCTTTGCTATGAGACTCAAAATTGAGCTCAGGTGCATCCTGTTTCCATTGATTATCCTTGAGATGTTTCTACAACTTGATTGGAGTCCACCTGTGGGATATTCAACTGATTGGACATGATTTGGAAAGGCACACACCTGTCTATATAAGGTCCCACAGTTGACAGTGCATGTCAGAGCAAAAACCAGGCCATGAGGTCGAAGGAATTGTCCGTAGAGCTCTGAGACAGCATTGTGTCGAGGCACAGATCTGGGGAAGGGTACCAAAACATTTCCCCAAGAAGTCCCCAAGAACACAGTGGCCTCCATCATTCTTAAATGGAAGAAGTTTGGAACCACCAAGACTCGTCCTAGAGCTGGCCGCCCGGCCAAACTGAGCAATCAGGGGAGAAGGGCCTTGGTCAGGGTGGAGACCAAGAACCCGATGGCCACTCTGACTGAGCTCCAGAGTTCCTCTGTGGAGATGGGAGAACCTTCCAGAATGACAACCATCTCTGCAGCACTCCACCAATCAGGCCTTTATGGTAGAGTGGCCAGCCGGAAGCCACTCCTCAGTAAAAGGCACATGACAGCCAGCTTGGAGTTTTCCAAAAGGCACCTAAAGGACTCAGACCATGAGAAACAAGATTCTCTGGTCTGATGAAACCAAGATTGAACTCTTTGGCCTGAATGCCAAGCGTCACGTCTGGAGGAAAGCTGGCACCATCCCTACGGTGAAACATGGTGATGGCAGCATCATGCTGTGGGGATGTTTTTCAGTGGCAGGGACTGGGAGACTAGTCAGGATCGAGAGAAAGATCAACGGAGCAAAGTACAGAGAGATCCTTGATGAAAACTTGCTCCAAAGCGCTCAGGACCTCAGACTGGGGCGACGGTTCAACTTCCAACAGGACAATGACCCTAAGCACACAGCCAAGACAACACAGGAGTGGCTTCGGGACAAGTCTCTGAATGTCCTTGAGTGGCCCAGCCAGAGCCCAGACTTGAACAGGTGTGCCAAGCTTGTAGCGTCATACCCAAGAAGACTCAAAGCTGTAATCGCTGCCAAAGGTGCTTCAACAAAGTACTGAGTAAAGGCTCTGAATACCTATGTAAATGTGATATTTCTAAAAACCTGGTTTTGCTTTGTCATTATGGGTATTTGTGTAGATTGATGAGGGGGGAAAAAACATAATAAATATTTATTTATAGTGGTTTATAAGCAGTTTATAGGTAGTTCTTCTAATGTTACCAAACAACATTTGACCGATTCAACACAGATGGATTCTCTCAGTAGATGGTATTGATGACATTTAGTGTAATCAGGGTTGGTTTGTTACTAATGGGGAAATGAATAGTTATTGGAGAATTTAATGGAGGGTTTCTGATGAGGACCAACCTTTACTAACAAAGATACACACATTAAACACAGACACAGATACACCAACCCATCAACACACACACACACACACACACACACACACACACACACACACACACACACACACACAAAGTGATTATTGAGGAACTACTGACTCTGTACAGGCTTACATTGTAGAGGAGCCATCTTGGCAGAGGGAAACTCCTTCTCTACGTAGTACAGAACCTTCATAGAGCCCTGACTGTGATTGGGCTGGAGACGATAGCCACTGCGTACTGTGGACACGGACACACCCACACAGACTTATTTCAAGGATCAAAGCCACTACGGACAGTAGAAACACACTTACACAAACAAAAACACGGATGCACACACACACACACACACACTCGAACGCAGGTCCGGTCATAGACAACTCCACCCAGGTTAGGGTCAGAAAATGAGGACCAACATAAGAAGAGGGTTAGTTAACTCAGATGACCCTCTACAAACGGTAGTTAGTGTTACTGTGATATATCATGCAAAACTAAATTTCCCACAATGCACAGTGGCTTGTCCAGTTCCTGCAGTCTGACAGGACGAGCCCAGGTGTGGGGCGGGTCACTCACCCCCAGCCAGGTTGTTCTCCACTGAGGGGAGGGAGACCATCTTAGGGTCAGCGAGGGACGGTGGAGCGAAGGGAACCATGGCGGGGACCCCAGGGATGCAGTAGGGGGGGTACACAACAACCTGGGGAGGCTGGCCCCTCTTCACCATCTTCCCCGCCTCATAGACTGGAAAACAGTAAAAAATTAAATGAAAATCCTAAACGTTTAAAAAGGGAAGCATGTGAATGTAAGGCTGTGTGTGTGTGTGTGTTACTCACGGTGGCGTGGGCAGCAGCAGGTGTCGGGGCAGCAGCAGCAGCGGAGGTAGCAGCAGCAGGAATGAGGGCAGCACTGACACCAGCAAATCCCCATCAACAACAGGAACAGGATACTGCCCAGGGATACAGATCCCACAAACACCCACTCTGGAACACAGAATCAGATCAATGAGACTACAGATCCCACAAACACCCACTATGGAACACAGAAACAGATCAATGAGACTACAGAGCCCACAAACACCCACTATGGAACACGGAAACAGATCAATGAGACTACAGATCCCACAAACACCCACTATGGAACACAGAAACAGATCAATGAGACTATAGATCCCACAAACACCCACTATGGAACACAGAAACAGATCAATGAGACTACAGAGCCCACAAACACCCACTATGGAACACATAAACAGATCAATGAGACTACAGAGCCCACAAACACCCACTATGGAACACAGAAACAGATCAATGAGACTACAGAGGCCACAAACACCCACTATGGAACACAGAAACAGATCAATGAGACCACAGATCCCACAAACACCCACTATGGAACACGGAAACAGATCAATGAGACTACAGATCCCACAAACACCCACTATGGAACACAGAAACAGATCAATGAGACTACAGATCCCACAAACACCTACTATGGAACACAGAAACAGATCAATGAGACTACAGATCCCACAAACACCCACTATGGAACACAGACACAGATCAATGAGACTACAGATCCCACAAACACCCACTATGGAACACAGACACAGATCAATGAGACCACAGATCCCACAAACACCCACTATGGAACACAGACACAGATCAATGAGACTACAGATCCCACAAACACCCACTATGGAACACAGACACAGATCAATGAGACTACAGATCCCACAAACACCCACTATGGAACACAGACACAGATCAATGAGACTACAGATCCCACAAACACCCACTATGGAACACAGACACAGATCAATGAGACTACAGATCCCACAAACACCCACTTTGGAACACAGACACAGATCAATGAGACTACAGATCCCACAAACACCCACTATGGAACACAGACACAGATCAATGAGACCACAGATCCCACAAACAGTAAAGATACACATCTTGTTACTTGAGTGAGTTACTACATGTTACTTACTACAGTTACATCTTCTGCATCTCTGTTCTCTCTCCACATCCGTAATAACCATTGACATACATGGTAATAATAACCCTCCAATGCTCAGGGTGTAGAGAGGCAGGGCTTGCTGGCTTATCACAGCCTCACATCACTAAAGCATCCCAACACTAATGATGAACTTCCTCAGGTCGTGACCAAGGACGACAAACACACCACTTTGGTCAGCCCCTTGTGAAAACACACATCCCAAGTGGACCTCTTCAGAGAGAGATCTCATCTTCAAAAGAGAGAGGGGGTAGGGTTTCTTGTGAATAACTAGCATTGCTCCATTGAGGAGAGTTTTAAATGTGCCATATGCATTAAGTCATGTAGCAAGAATATGATTGTGAGAGTGAGTTAATGCTTGACTGCGCAGAGGCGGAATATAAGATGAGGCAACGAGCTGATTTGTCCTTTACTCTGCAGTTGTTAAATCATTCAAGATTCCCAGAAGCTGATTGGACAGTGAGAGAACAGGGTTAGCAGAGCCAGAGCAGGTGATGCCACTGAGGGGAACAGGTAAGGAAGGAACAGGTGGGGTGAAAATGCAGCCATTTTTGGCATACACACACACAGACACACAGACAGACAGTAGCCAGCGGGCGAGGAGGCAGGCAGCCGTACCTGGCATAATCGCCACATCAAACTCAGGCAGGAGATCATCCAGCACACCTGTCCTACCTGCAGAGAGAAGGAGAGCAGAGGTGAGGCGCAGCAGACAGGAAGTAGCAGAGGGCAGAGGTCAAAGTTGAGGCAAATCAGCCAATCAGATGGAGTTATTGACAAAGAGTCATGCATAGAGATTACCAGACAGATTAATTGAAAGAGGAGCCCAGGAAAAGAACAGTCAAACTATTCTTCAATACTGATGCTAAAGCCAAAGTGATCATCATCATCGTTAATAATTTCCCATGATTCAAACATTTGAGAGAATTTTAATACATTTGACAGAAGTTAATAGGAGTGAAGACAAAGTTGAAAGTGTGATGCTGATTGATTTTCACATCCACTTTATTTTATTTTTTTATTATTATTTTTTTTGTCATTTAGCAGACGCTCTTATCCAGAGCGACTTACAGGAGCAATTAGGGTTAAGTGCCTTGCTCAAGGGCACATCGACAGATTTTTCACCTAGTCGGCTCTGGGATTAGAACCAGCGACCTTTCGGTTACTGGCACAACGCTCTTACCCACTAAGCTACCTGCCGCCCACTTCACACATACTACCTCAGTCTAGTGTGGGAAGGGGGGGGGGGATGGGAAAATTGTCAGAGTGTAACGGGGACAGACACTACACTGAAGCATTCTGGGACACCAATTAACCATCGGAGCTCATTGGGAAAGAGGGTCAGCCATGGTAACAATGGCTGCTTTGTTTCTGCTAAATGTGATACGGCGAGAGACACACAGAGGAGGAGACAGAAAGGTTAAGGAAGATAAAGACAGAGAGTGATATTTGCACATTGTTACAACACTGGATATAGATATAACATGGGATATAGACATAACATGACATTTGAAATGTCTTTATTCTTTTGGAACTTCTGAGTGTAATGTTTACTGTTAATATTTATTGTTTATTTCACCTTTGTTTACTATCTACTTCACTTGCTTTGGCAATGTTAACATACGTTTCCCATGCCAATAAAGCCCTTAAATTGAAATTGAAATTGAATGAGAGAAGGATAAAGGGCAATAGAGAGAGAGACAAATATAGAGACAAATAGAGAGAGAATGGTGTTGTAATGGGACCACGCCCTCACACACACACACACACACCCACACACACTGATCCTACCACCCTTCTCTGGCACTGAGTCATATAAACCTAGCTGAGCTCAGTAACCTGAGAGAGGGGATAAACTATGGGCCTCTGAGAGGGGAGAAACTATGGGCCTCTGAGAGGGGAGAAACTATGGGCCTCTGAGAGGGGAACAAGGTGAGGGAGGAGAGGAGGTAGGGGTTTCCATTAGTTACCACAGCCACAGAGTCAAAATTGTCTATATCGTAAAAATTCATGAAAGCAAAAATGTGCTTTTTGGTCTTTATTTAAGGTTAGGGTTAGGCATAAGGTTAGCAATGTGGTTAAGGTTAGGGTTAAGGTTCAGTTTAAAATCACATTTTAAGAAGATCAATTGTAGAAATAGGCAAGGTTTATGACTTTGTGGCTGTGATAACTAGAGACGGCCGGGAGGGAGAGGGGAGAAACTATGTGCCTCTGAGAGGGGAAGGTGAGGGAGGGAGGGAGGGAGGGAGGGAGGGAGGGAGGGAGGGAGGGAGGGAGGGAGGGAGGGGAGAAAACTGTGGTGCCTCAGAGGGGAAGGTGAGGGAGGGAGGGAGGGAGGGAGGTGAGGGAGGGAGGGAGGGAGGGAGGGAGGAGGGAGGGGAGAGGAGATAAGGAACAATGATAAGAAGACAGGGGGAAGAAGGGGTAGAGGAAAATGAGGTGCTTCAGAGTAGAATACAAAAAAATATAAAGCAGTGAAAAATTTAATTATGAGAAAGAGAGGACAGGAGAAGGAGAGCGGGAGGGAAGCTGAGAGAAATAGAACAGGAGAAGGAGAGAGGGAGGGAAGCTGAGAGAAAGAGAACAGGAGAAGGAGAGAGGAAGGGAAGCTGAGAGAAATAGAACAGGAGAAGGAGAGAGGGATGGAAGCTGAGAGAAATAGAACAGGAGAAGGAGAGAGGGAGGGAAGCTGAGAGAAATAGAACAGGAGAAAGAGAGAGGGAGGGAAGCTGAGAGAAAGAGAACAGGAGGGAAGTGAGAAGAAGGGAGGAGGAGACTGGGAGAAAGAAACAGGAGAAGGAGAGAGGGATGGAAGCTGAGAGAAATAAACAGGAGAAAGAGAGAGGGAGGGAAGCTGAGAGAAATATAACAGGAGAAGGAGAGAGGGAGGGAAGCTGAGAGAAATAGAACAGGAGAAAGAGAGAGGGAGGGAAGCTGAGAGAAATAGAACAGGAGAAGGAGAGAGGGAGGGAAGCTGAGAGAAAGAGAACAGGAGAAGGAGAGAGGGAGGGAAGCTGAGAGAAAGAGAACAGGAGAAGGAGAGAGGGAGGGAAGCTGAGAGAAAGAGAACAGGAGAAGGAGAGAGGGAGGGAAGCTGAGAGAAAGAGAACAGGAGAAGGAGAGAGGGAGGGAAGCTGAGAGAAAGAGAACAGGAGAAGGAGAGAAGGAGGGAAGCTGAGAGAAAGGGAGAACAGGAGAAGGAGAGAAGGAGGGAAGCTGAGAAAAAGAGGAACGAATATAGGAGACAGTTTAGGAAGTCAGTCTCAGTCCCACCATGGGGGCACAGTCATCCTTGTGCTATGCATTGAGCTCTCCTAGCCCTCAACAGTCATATAAATACAGCAGACAGTAACCTGAGAGAGAGAAGGGAGACCGGGTCCAAACTCTGGTGGTGTGTGTACAAGGCCAAAGTCAGCTCCTCTGTTGTCCCACCACACAGCTGACCCTTAACATGCTACACCACTGACCATTAACCTGCTACACCACTGACCATTAACCTGCTACACTACTGACCCTTAACATGCTACACCACTGACCATTAACATGCTACACCACTGACTATTAACCTGCTACACCACTGACCCTTAACCTGCTACACCACTGACCCTTAACCTGCCACACCACTGACCATTATCCTGCCACATTTTACAGTTACATTTTAGTTATTTAGCAGACGCTCTTATCCAGAGCGACTTACAGTTAGTGAGTGCATACATTATTTTTTATTTTTTCATACTGGCCCCCCGTGGGAATCGAACCCACAACCCTGGCGTTGCAAACGCCATGCTCTACCAACTGAGCTACATCCCTGCCGGCCATTCCCTCCCCTACCCTCAACGACGCTGGGCCAATTGTGCGCCGCCCCATGGGTCTCCCGGTCGCGGCCGGCTACGACAGAGCCTGGATTCGAACCAGGATCTCTAGTGGCACACTAGAGATCCCACTGCGCCACTGCTACACCACTGACCCTTAACATGCTTTACTCCCCCAAAAATTTTTTTTGCCATGGAAACAATTTAAGAAGTGGATTACATAGCTCACAACAATTACCTAGAACTACTCTCTGTAATGTATGTGTAATGTATGTGTAATGACCTTATTCCACATAGGTACTGTATGTTGTGAGCTCTCTGTTATGTAGCCTATGTCTACCTGGCCTATACTGACACTATATTTGAGGTTATAAAGGTTTATGTATGGCTATGTCAGGGTTATGTCTGCTGTTGTACAACGGTAAGCTCAGCCAAACAATAGGTCCTCTCGGAGAGGATCAGAACCGTGTAGAGCAGCAGCGCATGTCTTTTCGGCCCGTTGTCATGGCAGCATTTCTAAGTGCACTTTGGAATGTGCACCCCCCCCCCCCCCACACACACGATGCTCAGCATTTCAGACTGGCATTTCAGACTGCAACGGCACAAATCAATAGATCTTATGCTGAGGTGCTGTGGTAAGGTTCAGAAAGTGAGACAAGACAATAAATAAGTGTATACTTGTTTCCTATTGCCTCAACTCCCAACTTCAAAATCCTTTCAGACGAGAAAGGACCTCAAAATAAGAGAGGACAGATAGCCCCAACGGAATGTTCAAATTGGTGTTAATTTCTGTTCTATCCCTTCCTCTTTAATGTTGAGGTGGTTTGACATCCTGTGTTGAATGTTTACTTCCTGTGTGCTGAGGGGTTCACTTCCTGTGGTCGCTCACCCAGCACCAGTAACTCCACCTGGCCCTCGTTCTTCCCCTCCAGGTCGTCTGCGATGACGATCTTACAGAAGTACACGCCGCTGTCGCCCCACTGCAGGTCCCCGATCCGCAGGTCTGCCTCTGGACAGGTACAGGGTCAAAGGTCAGGTCAAAGGTTGAATGAAAAAAACGATAAACCTATAAAAACATCTGAAAAAACATATAAAAGCCATACAACAAATCATCGACAACTGCATACTGTCATAGGATTATATACCATTAGTAAAACAATGTACTGAACAATCCTCAAATATACATTGACATTTGACACATTCATACATCCTACATATTTCTATTATGATTTACGAAAACAGGAGGGTGTTTAGTTAAAAGGAAGGCAGAACAAGAAGGTGGGTGTTTCCTTTTGATAAGGAGCTCAATGGGGTGGTTCATTGTGAATAGGATAAGAGAGGGCAGTGTGTGTAGAGACCACTCCATTGTGAACAGGGGGCAGTGTCGTTAAGGGGATAGTTCACCCAAATTACATATTGGTTTCCTTACCTTGTAAGCTGTCTGTGGACAAGGTATGACAGCAATCCATGCTTTGGTTTAGCTTCCCTGGCACTGTTTCCAAATGCTAATATTTTAGGATTTGTGGCACAAACCTCATTCAAGTCATGGCACCGATATTAGCAAATCATCCGAAAGTATCTAAAATGTATTGTGAAGCTCAACAAAGTAACTTATAGATGATTTTTAAAATGTTAATAATGGGTCTCATGACTTGGATGGGATTTGTACCAAAAATGCTAAAACGTTATCATTTGGAAACAGTGCCAGGGAAACTAAACCAAAGCATGGACTGCTGTCATACTTTGTCCAGGGTAAGGAAACCAACATGTGATTTTGTAATTTGGGTGAATTATCCCTTTAATGTGTGTGTGTGTGTGTGTGTGTGTGTGTGTGTGTGTGTGTTAGTGGAGCCTGGTCTATTGTGAAGCAGAGACAGAGAAGGACTATTTGAGGAACCGGAAAAGCCGAGCACAAGCAGTCACGTTTCCTGTTGGGAGACGGATCACACAGTAGAGAGACTGGGACAATAGACACAGGCTATGACGGACCACCGCTTATAACACTAAAGCACTGGCATACTGTAACCAGCATTTAAGCGTGTGCGTGTGCGTGAGTGTGTGTATGTATTGCGTTCCCTCACAACATTTTCACAAGCACAGCCTTCTAGTCATACACATAACAGCTCATTAAACTATAAACACCTCCACACACGCACACAACTTAAATAAACACAACACAAATCAACTAATTAGAAATCTTCACAGTACTGTTGACGATGGCGATGTCTCGGCCCTTGTAGTGCTCAGCCAGCGTCATGGAGGCTCCCTGGCCCGAGGCTACGATGCGGACGGTGCGGCTGCTGTCGGAGCACTCCAGTTGGGCCGCGGCGCCCAGCTCAGACCCCTGGACCCCCAGGCTCTCGGTGAAGGTGAAGGAGTCTCGCGTGCGGTCACGGCAGTAGGACTTGTACCACCACTGCACCACAGGGGTCTGGGTGGAGGGCGTGTGGTACTGGCACTGAAGCACCACGGACTGGAAGAGCATGGCCAAACGCCTCTCCTCCCGAACGGTCACCTGCACCCCAGCACACACACAGACTGACACACACAAAAACATGCACAAACATGGACACACACACACACACACACACACAATGAAAGAAAATGACAGAGAAAAGAGAGGGGGAGAAGTTATTAATTCCAATAATCAAAACAATTCCAGATTATATTTTCACGGAAAGGTTAAAAACACAGACCTATGAATGGTAAAAAGGCATGGTGATAGATGTCCCATTCTACATATCAAATCACATTTTCTATCAAAATCTAATTCTATTCATCACATGCTTCGTAAATAACAGGTGTGGACTGACAGTGAAATGCTCACTAACAGCAGTGTGCATATAAGGCCTTTAACATACAGTATATTTTGAATAGCCAGTGAAACATGCAAATGTAAAGGAGAGATTTGACTTCACAGTTGAATGCTCTCCAACACCAGCTTTGAAACGCAACCAGTCCATCATCACTTGAACCAAGCAGCTTTGTCTCTTTAAAAAGTACTATATAAGTCCCATGTATTATTATTATTATTATTATTATTATTATTATAATATAGCCTCTACCCATTTTTTTCAGTCCAACTCTCCCTTACATACCCCTTGCACATCCAAAAGGTTAAGGGGGATTCCAGACCACTAAACTCAAGAGGGGGTTTATTTGTTTTCTACCCCACAGGGAGCCTATCAGAGACAGACTGCAGAGGTGGAATGCTCCTGATGTTCAGTGGTTCAGATAAAAGGCTGAGAACAGAGAGAATATAAGATAGGGAGATGGAGTGGTGAGATAAGAGTTGTGAAAGTGATGACTTGAATTCACCAACGCCTGAAAACATCTGGTCTGGATCCACAGTGTGAACCTGTGTTTGAGGGTGTGTGTGTGTGTTTGTGTGTGTGTGTGTGTGTGTGTGTGTGTAATGATGACTCCAACTCAGTCTCCAACTGGGAGAATACCAAGTGGTGATTTGCATAATATCTAAAGGGGAGGAGAGACAGACAGAGATGGGATGGGGGCTCCTCTCTCCTGGTCACAGGGACTACATTCCGCTGTGCGTGGGGAGCGGGGGCAGGACGGCAGTAGGGAGGTAGGAGGTTATCATAATAAAGAGGAACAGTGAGGGGGCCAGAACCAGATCAGTCTACAGCTCCAACCTGTCCCGTTAGTTCTGGGTGGAGCAGGGAGCAGGTACTGACTCAAAAAAATGTCCCAGTCCCATTAGGTCTGGGTGGAGCAGGCAGCAGGAACTGACTCCAAACATTTCCCAGTCCCATTAGGTCTGGGTGGGGCAGGCAGCAGGAACTGACTCCAAACATTTCCCAGAAAAGAGGAAATCACAACAAAGCGTTCTACCCAGCAACTCTCTCCTTAGGAGCAGTTTAATGCATATGAAGGGAATGAGACAAGGAGGGAAGCCATTTTACACTTTGTACCAAAGAAGAGCCAGGGTGATTCATGATGATGGCCTTCAAATAAATATCTGACCCTACACCAACGGTTCACCCACTCCTCCTACAGAGTCTGAAGAAGATGTGTTACCTCTGGAGAATACAAAACAAATGAGAGAGAGAGAGACAGAGGAGAGAGAGAGAGAGAGAGAGAGAGAGAGAGAGAGAGAGAGAGAGAGAGAGAGAGAGAGAGAGAGAGAGAGAGAGAGAGAGAGAGAGAGAGGTGACAGTTCCGTTTGTTTGTTTGTGTTTGTTTTCATTTTGAATATGAGAGGGATGGAGAAAAATAAAGTGGGAGGAGAGATAGCAGGGAGAGGAACGGTGCTCCTAAATTCCTTCCACGGGGTAGCTGTGGCCCTCCCTTTGTCCTTTTGTTCATGGCCCATTGGCCCATTGTTTGGCATTAGTAAGTCCCCCCTCATCCTGGAGGATCCTATGTGGACAGTAGAATGGAGGAGGGGGATGGGAGGACTCCAACCAATGAAATAATCTCATCTGGTCCAGTCGGGTGTGAACAGCCAATTAGCTGTTAGGTATTTGAACCAAACCGTTAGAAGAGGTCCTTACAGTGTAGTGAGGGGAGATAGGGACAGAGAGAATGGACAGGGTGGGACACCTTAGTAACCACAGGATTCACGTACAACCAAAACAAACATTGTAACTGTATTCTGGAACCTTTGCTCCAAGGTGTGAGCCTGTCTCAGCATCTCTCTGTTAGAGAACACAAAAAGTGTCCATACATGTAACCAGGCACTTCAAAACACATTTGTACACACATGCAACTATCTAACATACACCATTAAATAGTGTTTTCTTGATGAGTGGGCTACTACACAAACTGAGCTTACTATTCAAGTCTACTAGGCTCTTCTTGGTCAAAGCTCTGAGTCACTCCATGCTTCCTGTCCACATCACACCCTTTCCTCCTTCAACAACTGACACCATTTTCCTGCGAGGCATTCAAACACAGACCTATAGGGCCTATAAACTAGACACAGATTTGTTTTGTATAGGTCTATTGAAAAAAAAAAACTCTTCAAAATACTAGATTAAATAATGGTAAAATTACTATTAATTTACCAAATTAAACGTGAAAAATGTGGTTAACACAACAGAGACCACTACCCAAATATCAGACTGATCTACAAAATTATATTTCATAGTAGACCCTCAGAGTAAGTTATTATAGAGGACAAATGATTCTCTGCCTAGTAGATGTTTATGTGACCCATTGGGGTGCATGCATACCATGGATATTGTCTGAATAACAGTACCTATTTAAATGAAATAACCGTGTTTTTACTATAGCATCTTTCATATTCCACACATTCCTCCTGTAATTTACGACAAAACACAATAGTGAAAAACAAGAGTAGCTAAGGTTATTATCACTGCACGTATTCCATCTAATAAAATACAGCAATTCAGATGAACCCCGCGAAACAAGTGGACAGCCAAAGGTCTGTTTATATCAATCAAAATAAAGGGAGTCCAATAGTCATATTGAGGTTGTAGGTAAGGCTACTGTAGAGGTAGAAAGAGACCCGTCAATTGCTGGAATTAACCCTCTGCAAGAGAGATCAACCTGTTACGTTCACTGCTTTCTCAGACAGATGACAAAATAACATGTTGAGTGAGTAAACAAACAAAAACAAGGAACATATATACCTGTTAAACACAAAATAATCCATCGATCTAACAGCCAGTTCATTTTTCGAATAAAAGGTTTCGCAATCAGAGAGAATTAATCCTCATTTTCATCCTGCCCGTTCTTTGACTCATTCTTTGTCCTCTGAGTGCTCATAAAAACACCGGGAGAGGCGAAGTGTCAATCGGAGACTAGAGGGAGTGTACCACTTCAACAGAGGGTGTACTCCAACTGCATTCCAAGAACTAAATTCAAACAAATATGTTTTACCACCATTCTAACTATACTAATATTACAAGCACATACTTAAATATATTTGGGATTCAAAACATTACATCTAAACTAGTCTCCAAAAAAATATTTCACCTGCTTCAACTGGTGGTTTTACCTATGGAATGAAGAAGAAGCGTCTGGTTTTAAAAGGGGAAAAAATATATTTTATTAATAGAATCAGGTCTTACTAACTCGGGTGTGATCCTGTAGAATTTTAAGAATTGAAACAAAAATAATGCTGAGACTTTAGTTCAGTTTTTCCTCCACTTCTTCCCTTTATTTTTATATATATGATTCATTTAAATTAATAAAAAATCCTTAATTAAATAATGCTTTTCATTGCATTGACATACACCCTATTTAATCAGACAGTTAATTGATTAAAACAGAAAATCAGTGCTTTATAAAAAATTAATTGATCTAGCCTACTTTCACCACAAAGTAATAATGAAAACATGTAGCACAGGGTCAAAACCATTCCATGATTACACACATACTCAACAGTTATTGACCACATGGGGTCATACAACCCAAGGGTACTTCTCTTCATGGTAAAACTTGATTTAGGTCCAGTTGTTTCAAACCAACCCCGGGCCCCAACCACAAGGTACTTCTTCAACCTCCCCGAAAGATCTGAAAGGACTAGATAGTTCTTCTGAATAGCATGGTAATAGCTTTCTTTGAGCCTCATGTAGGAGGCTAAGACACAGTAGCTGTTGAAGAGAGGCCTCCACCACCTAGACACAGAGCCTGATCCAATCCTTTCAGCTCTTTACAGAGAGGTGTAGAAGTGCCCTTTGGGCCACGGTTCAGTTTGAAATTGGGCCTCATCTCATCATATGTAACTTGAAGTAGGCCTAGTTTGTTTATCAAATAAAATAATGTTGTATTTTCCAAAATTACGGTTGTCAAGTGCACCAGGATCTGGTGTTATTTTGATCGAGCAATTGCCCAAATGCAGTTAAGAACAGCCTAGAAATAGCGTAACATTAATGATTGTTTGTGAGGCATTAGAATCAAAGGGGATATTATGGGGTAGGCAGAGCACCAGCATGGGACAACTGAAGTAGGCTCCCTGTACCAGCAGATTAGCATTGGGGAGGATGGCTGCTGAAGTAGGCTCCCTGTACCAGCAGATTAGCATTGGGGAGGATGGCTGTAATACCCTTGGACAAGTTAGCTAAGACAGGTTGGGTCTCAGTCACGGTCATCTTATGATTCATCGTACAGGTCATTGTACCGATCATGCTGGTCATCAAGGCGGTCACGGCTGCCACCATGGCGAACAACAGGCGGGTCGTCAAGGCGATCGCGGCTTCCACCATGGCGAATAACAGGTGGGTCGTTAAGACGGTCACGGCTGCCACCATGGCGAACAACAGGCGGGTCATCAAGGCGGTCGCGGCTGCCACCATGGCGAAGAACAGGCGGGTCGTCAAGGCGATCGCGGCTTCCACCATAGCGAAGAACAGGCAGGTCGTCAAGGCGATCGCGGCTGCCACCATGGCGAAGAACAGGCGGGTCGTCAAGGCGGTCGCGGCTGCCACCATGGCGAAGAACAGGCGGGTCGTCAAGGCGATCGCGGCTGCCACCATAGTGAACAGCAGGCGGGTCGTCAAGGCGGTCGCGGCTGCCACCATGGCGAAGAACAGGTGGGTCGTCAAGGCGATCGCGGCTGCCACCATAGCGAACAGC